TTGAATATCTTGTGAAAGTAAACTTATCAATGTTTTGAATCAATTTGTTTCCCTTCAGTACTGATCAATTTAGTGCCTCAGTTGGTCATGTTTTTTATCACTGCCTACAGCATATGCTATCTATCTAGAAAGTTACAAAATGAATAGAGGAGAAAAAGTTGCTTACTCTATCGTGATGGTGACATTTCGGTACATAAGTACTGTAAATATACAGAACCTAGGTGGGTTCATATTAAATGTGTTGAATCAATGGATACTTTGACATACTTTCTTATATTTTCAGTCATCGAAATTGATTATTTTCAGTTCCAATACAAATAAACTAGTTTTATTAAAAGCTGAACACAATTTATTGCACTACCTGCTAGTTACTTTCGACTACAATGAAAATAATATCTGTAAAATATTAATATACTTACTGTATGTTCAAAAATGAAGTACTTAGCCATTCAAATATTAGGTGACATTTTCATCCATACAATGCTTATTTATGTGAATACCCACTTCCCTGTAATTTAACAGGAAGATAAATTTTATTTTTCTGTCGCCTAACTATTTAACCTTTACATTTCCAACTGGTGACAATTTCTTCACTCGGATCTTTTGAAGATTATTTCTCGGTTCAATGAATTAAAATTCCTCTATTAATGCTTACCAACACGATACTTTTCACGGAAGAAATTCTATGGAGTATAATTTTTATTGATCTTCAATGTGAAGTGACACATTCGATCAGACAAGTGAAAATGTTCTGGTCATTACTGATGAACATGGTTGAGCTAGGTGTATATTCTGCTGGCTTTCCGAACTAATGATGCAACATATCCAGTTGTTTTATGATATTTTTATAATAATCGCCTATGTAGTAATCAGTACTTAAGAGACATACTCCGCGTTCAAAATTAGTTTAGCGTCTAAATGGTCTCTGATGTTAATATTCCTGAACAGAAACACTTTTAGATCAATTAGGTGAAATGTTTTATGGCCTATCTACAGCACCTCAAGCTTCTATCAGGAAAAGGTGACCCATTACATGCTGCTGTTCAACTACAATTCTACTGATTTATCATTTTGTTGAATGTATTCTAACTTCTACATCTATAAGTATCAAAAATGCAATAGCTTGGATATGCTTTGTAAAACGTTAAGTAAGGTAATAATTGAACAACTCATCGGAATAACGTGGTTTATGGTACAACTGTTTTTACTAATACTTTTTAAAATGATTTGACAATGAAAAAGTGGTATATTGTCCTACTACATTTCTCACTCTAGACGTGATACTAAGAAAACGTTTATGTCATCAAACGCATTACGAAATACATAGGAATTACATGGGCGAAACTTGCCACAGAAAAAACATTTACTAAACTTGTGCTCATCTTTGTGATCTGCTTCGCAACTTCACAATGAATTGTTATCTGTATAACCTTGAGTACGCATTGGAGTTATCAAACTCGTTACCTGAAAACAATCGCAAATCATCCAGCACAAGATCGGAATTCATAGCATGCTAATGTTCACTCTCGATGATAAACAGAAATACATTTGCCAGCCATCTTAGTCTACATTATGTTAGATTGTTTATGAAAAACAGTATTTATATAAATTCAATTTTACAACTAGAGATGTTGTTTAGATGAAAAATGATTTGCTACCCCATCCTCTTCTCAAAATACGTAACTAACAAAAGTGTTAAAATGCAGTTGACCAATATCACATTTTATATAATTACGATTTAAACAGTCTTCCTGACCACAAATCAGGAATAACAAAATGAATATAATATATAACTCTATTAAAGTTCGGAATCCACTTCCACAACTTCTCTAGTTATATCCGTGTTCTAAATGAGATACATTTCGTTTCACCAGCTCATAATATTTAAAATTGTTTAACAGAGATAGGATTCAATAAGTGTTAAACTGTCTTATACAAATTAAGTGCACTCAATCAGTTACTTGGTCACACTAGGTAATTAGGCCTGATATCACAGGCTGTTGTTGTATATGAACGTTTCAAATGTACTTGTTCAAACCAAACATGTTATCACTTAACATAGGCTCAACATACATTTCATTACAAAAGGTGTAAATCATATTTTGCCTAATTTCTATCCAATTTTCAGACATGGGACCATATATCGAGCAGATAGCATACGCAAAACCACTTGATGCATTGTTTGGAATGGGATCCGACGGTGGTGTAGTGATGAGTAAGGATTACGGAAGGTGGATTTCAGTTAACTCGTTTGAGTATCAATATACTTCCACAGAAGTTATCACTGCAAGTACGATATCATGGATCCCAGAGACAGTACACTTTTTGATTTATTTTGCATGATGCAGGTGGCTGGGCAATAGGATGGTGATTTATTGTCGCCATTTTAAAACATCTGTGTAATCTAGAGATGACAGTTGACAAAGTCGTATGACCACTTTTAGATTAGACAGTATTTCTTTAATTTCGAGGAATATATAACAAGCCATATTCGTTGCGATGAGTATTACTTACAAAAAATGACTTGATTGAAATGTCAACTTTAACTCTATAGGCTATTGACTCTGGGTTGATGAATGATAACTTGCTTCCCAATAAATGATGATATACAGTTTTTGTTATTTCCCTAACATCAAAATACAATGGGTCGATTAACTGTTCATCGGTTTTGCTGTAGAACTACCGAAATTTAGCACTTGGTATAACAGGAATTTAATTCTTCATAAATTCTCCCAATTATCAGTGAAACGAATACAGAAATGGTGTCTCACTACTGAATTTCTACTAAGTGCTTGATTAACTATAATGCGGACACAACATACATTTATAAAAATAGCATATTTGAATCCGCGGTTCGTTTTCTCACACTAGAAATGTTAATTAAAACTCAGCATAACTCAACGAATATCAAGTGGATTTTAGCCTAGATTTCCATCATTAACATTCCTCCCCTTGAATAAACTTATGTACATCTCTTCTAGTTTGCACCAACGAGATTTATGTAAATCACCTTCTGTCGGCTAACTGGGCTTATACATGCCCAAACATCAAGCATTTTTAAACATTCAATTGTATCAACTGCAAAATATTTGCTTCGTTTAGATATTTGTAGATTCTAAGTGTGTTATATAACATTGTATGTAACAATGCGCTGTTTAATTCATTTCGATTCATACTGAAATCACATTGCTTAGTTTGTTTCGGATATTACTGTCTATTAAATCGCTTGTTCATAACACTTTACCCATCTAGTTTATTATGAATAACGATTTCAGGTTAAAAACAATAAACAATTAAATCAGATGGGTTTTTGTGGAGATTGTAGTAATTTCAATGGTTAAGATCATGAGTCAGTGGTTAAGTGCTCGGGCGCGAAACCAGTAGGTCCTAAGTTCGAATCTCGCAGGGGGCGAGGTCGTGGATGCGCACTGCTGAGGAGTCCCACAATAGGACGAAACGGCCGTCCAGTGCTTCCAGGTTTTCCATGGTGGTCTAGCTTCAACTGACTCATGATCTTAACCATTGAAACAATTACATGTTCGTGTTTCATATTCACTAATAAAATAACGGAAAAACTTGAAAGTTAAAGAGAAGCTCTTAAAGGTCACATTATTTTTTTCTTACTGCAATATGCAGGAATCTACAGGAACGCTTCATTTTTTCCTGAAATCCAAAGTTATTTAAACAATACTTCCGTGTTTATCTGTGGCTATTCACTTCCTTTCTAACATGCTATCATATTAGGCATACCTTGAATTATACATGTCTTTTGCAGATAACAATTTTGTACTTACGCATAGATTCTGATCCAAACTTCCCTATTCACATTTTTATTGGTGCATGGGTTTCAAAAATTAATTCAAATATGTGTTTAGTTTGGAGATACATTTTATTTCTTTCATGTGAATTGTTATTTATTTGCAACACATGAAATGCTGTACACGATCGTAAATGAATAAATTTGAAGTGGTATTATTTCGGAAAAAAAGACAAACTTTAATCGCAACGATGCAACAGATTCATATTTTATTCACATCTTACTGATGCATAAAATTAAAGGAAAATTCAAAGAACTTTCACCCAGGAAACGGTACATGGTGAACAGAACTGTACGGTGGCACGTTTACGCCAGGCGATAGGATTATTCTTTCTTTAAAATTAACACAATTTGACTGGTTGTAAGTGTTTTGAAAGGTTGTAACTAACAGTCTTGCTATCATCAAAACCTATGATCGTCAATTGACGATATCATCTTTTTTTTATTTCCATAAACTGGGACAACTTTCCATTTCAAGACTACTAATATTTCGTACAGTAGATAATAACAATCGCTAACTCAAAACACATGACAAATGACCTTATTATGAATTTATAGGTATCAACGCCGAGGGTTGACTTGATAGTTTCAAATAAATTGAGCATTGGGTAGAAAGTTAGTAATAAATATTTTTTTGTTATATCCCAATGAATAGAAAAATTGTAGTTCTAACGTTTCGTGACTTAATGTAAGCCACTTTTTTAGAGTAAATAAATAACCGAACTAAATCATTCATTTACTCTGAAAAATTGATTTAAATTAAGTCACGAAATCTCAGAAGTACAATTTTCCTACTCATAGGGATATAACAAAAATATAATTATTGTGGATATCAACTCACTATTAGCTTATTTTAGGATAGCATTGTATTCACATAATTTAGATGGTTAGGAGATCCTGTAAGGTTAATTTGAGCTGATCACCAACATGGTCCACTGTATTATGAACCTACACACGTCTGCACTCATTTTTAGTTTATCGGTCAGAATTTACCTTGTTTACAGACTAATAATACCTGGATAAAATTATCATATAAAACAGAAAAGTACTCACATCTATCAGAATAAGCGTTAATTGTTGTTTCATATACAATGAGAGGAAAATGAGCTAGACAATAGTGATTTAACAAATAAGAAGTTCTCATGAAATCATTTATATAATTTAAATAAACAATATGTATATTTTAATGAAAATGTTCTCCAATAGGGACTTTTCTAATTTCTGATAAACCTCTATAAAAAAGAAAATTAAATTTGGTTGTGATCTATTTATTCCGACTTACTGTGCATCACGTGATAATAGGAAAAAGTTTTCCACGTAGTCTGATCTACCAAGTAATTCGACGAAATCTTCATCATGTGTGATAACGATTAACTGAAAGTTTTTCTGACGGCTCCTGTTTTTTATAATTCTAAATAAAAGAAAATAATATTGATCATGCTCGGAGAAATCTTTTACTGAACAGTTACACACAAGCATAAGTTGTTGGCTTGTCAACTGAGAGGATCAAAACAAATCTTGCAACAATTGCAAAGGGACAAGGAAAATTTCTCATTCTTGAAAACTTAATTTTCCCGACCAAATAGGTGAAATAAGGGCAAAGTATTCTACACCTTTAAATGACTCAACCGGTAAAACTCATCATGACGTTCGCGTACTCTATACAGATTAAAATGTGAAAAATTACCATATTGTGATTTAGAAAAACATACAAACAATATTATTTTCGATTAGATCCTCATCAGGCTTTACTCTAATATACAGTAATATTTGTATGTATATACGAAATTATTAAACCAATCAAAGTATTTTATGGGTTAATGATAACAGTGGAATAGATTACATGAATAAATATAATAAGTGAAAAGTACAAATTCGTAATGGGATGACAGGTGTACTAGTTGTGATAAGAATAATAAACGCTTGAATCAATCTTACATAATGGGAAATAGGTCAATGATTAGGAAAAATATAGACACTGAAATAACATTCATAAGAACTATAAAATTATGTAATAAGAAGTGTTCAGATAATTGGATCGTGAAACGTATATTTGAGAAAAAAACACAACTTTAAATGACCCATTTCTGTCTACTACATGAGCGCTATCGACCAAGTGTGTGTTTATTTTATCGACTGAGCGTATCTTCCTAGTTCTATTTGTAAAACATTTTACTAGGTTTCTCCTATAATGAAGGTCTACAAAGCTCGGTTCTATCACACACATGTCATCACACTACCAATTTGTACTTTTCACTTATTTTATCTATTCATGTAATCTACTCCACTGTTATCATTGACCCAAAAAATACTTTGATTGGCTTAATAATTTCGTATATACATATAAATATTACCGTATATTAGAGTAAAGCCTGATGAGGATCTAATCGAAAATAATATTGTTCGATTATATATGTTGTTATAGATTGAAATATAACCAATTGTAAAACTTGACGGTACAAAACACTACTTCTAATATATGCATAAATAAAACAGAACAGAACTAACAAATTTTAACTTGTTTTTTGATTGATCACATAATATTCTTGTTGTTCCATTGTACTATTTAAACCTGGATTAGTTTTGATTTGGTTATTTATCCTCTGAAGGAGTGGCTTACACTGAGTGACGAAACGTCAGAGAATTTAAATTTTCTACACATTGGGATATTACAAATATATCAATTTATTTATAAATTTTAACATTGTTCAGATGAAAACAATCAGTAAGGCTATACAAAACTAATAATCTTTAAATAAACCATTTGGTATAATTATCCACCTTCAAATCAGTAAATACAACCAATATGAACTGGAATGTTAGTTTCTTTTAAAAATATCTGTATATGTTTAATTTTTTAGAATTTATTTGTTTATTTATTACACATGAAGTTTCCTTAAATCATTCCAGTACTACTACTAATATTGCCGTAGTGAACGAGGACTTAGTGAAGATAACTGACTTATTGTTTAATACAAAATCACAGCATGTTTTGGTAAAATATGAAAACCATACATTAAGTACATCATTTGCACATCTCCCTTCAGTTGTCCTTTAAATGCTTCATGATTCTTTCAGATTCATTGTTATTACGGTAACTGTTTGTTTAGATTTCTGTTCTCTTCAATCCAATCTTCTCAATCTTCTTCTGCCAGGCATTCCACTTCTGATTGGTGTCACGTACTACTTATATCAGTCAACATAAGTGGCGCACGCCACACTACTATCACCACTACTACATTACCATAATGATTTAATGAACTGGATTTCATTTTCGACGTTCTTAATGCAAATCATTCCAAGCGATAATTGGAAGATACTTATAAAACTATGTTGTAATGTTATTATTTACTTAAGACTTAACGGTAAAACTACTGTTAATTAAATTAGAGGTGCGTTCTTCCACAGTGATTACAAGATAGGTTTCATTTACATACAACAGCAAAGGATTTTCATAGTTCAAATTTATTACTTCCCGATTAAAAAATTGGTTATAGTACTAAAATGAAAGTTATCATTCAGACTTGCTTTGAGTATTCACCTTATTCAGGTACGAAATGCAGTAATCTGAATAATTGACAACACAAAGATAAATAGACAATAAACTTTGCCGATATCATTGTAGGCAAAGATAGATAGTGGCTAGCAGTAGAATCCAGGACGCACCTTTCGTCCTATTTGGGACTCGTCAGCTGGATGTACCTGTATCCCAGAGTTTACGTTCTCGCACTCGAACTCTGTACTGTTCGCTTCAAACGCCATCACGCTATCCACTTAACTACTGCGTCCTGATAGCCACTTGCTTGTGCGATGGGGTGAAGTTTAAATTCACTTGGCATCGTTTACTTGAATCTTCCCATTGGTGATTCCACTGATAGCCACTATCCATCTTTGCCTATAATGCTCGTGAATTAAGGCAATATAGAGGCAATACGCACAGTATGAACAAATGCCGATAAGAGACTGATCAATTGCAGTCCTAAACATCAATGAGATGATTCACGTAAACGATACCAAGTGAATTCTACCGATATTAATTCTGAATACCAAGCCAGAATAAAAAACTTTCACAGTAATACCAATATTTGACACTAAGTTTTATGTTTTAAAACTTTAATGACCTATTTTGAATATACTCGTATACTTCAAACCGAATTACTACGTAATTCCTAATAATATGCGCCGCTGAAAACCACTTACTCTACCAGAGCATAAGCTAAACTTTCAATATTTTCTCGGTCGAGGTTTGTCGTTGGTTCATCAAGAGCAAGTACTCCACAATGTAGGCAAAATACTTCAGCCAGTGCTAAACGGATGATTAAACTGGCTAGAACTTTTTGCCCAGCTGAACATCGTCCACGCATATCTAAACGGGCTTCGTTATTGCATGAAGTGTTGTTTTTTGACTTCGGCCGAGAAACTGACATGCTTCCTGTTGTTGTCTTCACCATAACCACACGGTAATTATAAGTTCTTCGCGTTCTGCAAACATTCAAAGCAGCAGCTGTATCTTCTTCGCTACATATCTCAATGTAATCGATATCTGAAAAGTAAAATATAAATTATGGTTAGTACTTAGTCCATCAAAAGTCAGTACTCGATACTGTGGTATGAAAAGAAACATGATTTTATATTTCCCTGACTACTATTATAAACATTTTGAAATAATGACTAAAAAGTTTTTCTTCAGCCTAGGTTACATTTGGTCCTTATACTATTAATAAGACATGATAAAACACTTTCGTGAAAATCCTAGACGAAAACACGGAAAAAATATTTATATATGATGTAAAATTTAACTATTATACACGCGAAACTACTAGCAGGAAATCCATGGAATTCGTTACTTGATTCTTTTCACATAACATATAGGTCATGAAAAACCTCACGTTTACAAGACTTCTATTAGCAAAGTAGAACATATGAAAGGTCACAACTACCCTTTACTATAAAACGACAGGTTCATCACTTCGACATTTTGCCACAAAAACGAGGTAACTGTTATTTTCTATCTATAAAGAATATGACAATAATTAGAAGATAAAAAAACATGCTTACAATCAAAAATGCATAGTAGATACCAGAGAAAAACTGTTTCGTACATATTCAGTAAATGATACAAACTGAATTACCAAAGAATAAATACTGTTATTCAATATTTACTTGAATGACCAATCAATTGTAAATAAGTCTCAGCCCTGGGGCAGGTGAGTCGCGGTCCGAATAGCTCAGTGAAGACGTCTCTGACTGTGAAGCTAGGTGACATGGGACCGAATTCATCAGGGAGCATCAGTTCCCTCATGACTACAGGCACACCTTGCTGACGAGTGCCAAATAGCACGAAACCATAGGTTTCGTGTCGACTACCTCCAACCACCATCGTACATCTCAACGTAGTGCACGCAATGTTGAATCACCTAGACTAGTGGTCATATTTCAACTCAGTCTATAGAACTGAATCTACAACTAAGAAGGATCCGGCACACATGTCATTCGTCGGTATCCAGTGTCCAATCAGTTGTAAATATACATTTAGTAGATCCAATAAGTATTTAAAAAAGACTGCCAATATCAAGCATTTCATTCAAATATAATTATAGCTTATCAACTTTAATTCAAATTAATTATTACAAGTAACTAACCATTGCCACGGTATGTACTGCGCCATAATTCTCGGATAATTTTATTTAGATCAGCCATTTTAACAGCATGATAAGACATTATCGCTCTAAAGGGAAGAAAAATAAACACAAATTACGTTTAAAAAAATGCTATATTTATAATATCTCAATGAGTAGAAAAATAAATTTTCTGACGTTTCGTAACTCAGTGTAAATCCCTTCTTCATAGTATAAATAAACAAGTTAAATTAACTTGAAATTAAATAGTGCAAAGTATGAAAGTCTGTGAGAAGGGACAAACGGTTTACTATATCCAACTCTTTCTTGTAACTGAAGGAAGGTAGGATCACTCGAAATGAACCAAGAGAATTCAAACACCAGTTCAATCAGAAGCGCGATTTCACCCTCATACCTTAAGTCGATAATTTCTAACCACATCACTCGACATTATTATATCACATGCGTCCCAGGTAAAGAAGTGTATATTTAAAGAATACCAATGATCAAGTTCTCCCCTAGAATCTATCAACTCATCAAAAAAGAAATACATGATTGATTAATTCCTTGAGGCACATAGTCATCTAAACATAAATTAAACAAGTAAGACAAACATGTAAACTCTTAAACTTGTAAAACTATTTCATGTGAACAAAAGCACCATAAATGAATTTCAGTAATAAAAGTAAAACACAATTTTGGGACAGAAATAACTATTACGGGTATTGTACTGGATCATAAAGTATAGGAACTAGAAACACAATTTGAATTTATCTTGGTTATTTATTTGGATAGTTTAAAACAACAACAAAAAATTAATTTACAAAAAATCATATACCTATCTAAAGCTTTATAATACCGTTCCAAATCCGAACAAGCTAATTCTGAAGTCTAAATATAAAACAATGAGAAAAGAAAACAAACAAATAATTTTCAATCAATCATTCACATCGATACTAAGAATTTCGTGAAATGCTAACATCTAAACTGATATGTTCGTCAGTATAAACTTTTAATAGCCGTGACCAGTGGAGCTAATCCGCGTCGGGTAGAGACAGGTATCTACCTCAGTACAATGGAACATGGTCGCGCAATTTCGTGGATTGATTGAGGTTAGACAATAACACCATTAGATTCCGGCTCAGTGGTCCAGTAGGTTAAGCGTTCGCGCGCGAGACTGAAGGACCTGGGTTCGGATCCCGCAGGCGGGATCGTGGATGCGCACTGCTGAGGAGTCCCACAATAGGAAGAAACGGCCATCCAGTGCTTTCAGGTTTTCAATTGGTGTTCTAACATCGATCGGTTCGTGATCTCAATCAAAAACTAAATAATCTTCACAACCCCTATACTGATAAATAAATATACTTTAGAGAAACTGTTAAGTTTGTTAGCTAACTAAAGAGAAATAATTTTAAACAAATTGGAAATGTTTGTTGTGTGAAAATTGTGTCAATGAAAATGGATGATAAAGTTAAGCGTATAAGTATTATCTTGTTTATATTAATTAATCAACATTTTTGAAGACAATTAAGCACAATCATGAAATACTGATGACAAGAGAAAAACCATATTCTAGGTCCATTGGATTCATGAATAATTATATTATCCATATATTTAGCATACTCCTATTCACTTATACAATTTTAGACATAACAATTACCGATCAGAAAGGTTGTTCTTTTAAGTTAAGAATAAAAAGGTTGTATAATACAACTTTGAGATTTCTTTTGTATTGGAAAAACAGCCTTATACTTATAAAAGATTCATATAAATTTATAGATTTTAAAAAATGTAGAACTAATACTTACTTTAAGCTGATACATCATATCACGATATTCACTGTCAGCGTTGGTATATTTTTCATTCAAATCACGATTAAGATAACAGAGTTTTGCGTTTAATTCACTTAGTTGATTGGATATGTCTTGTTTCTAAATTGTATAGTTTACAAATTAAGTTTTTGTTAGTACATGATTAAATATAGTCAAATCTCATTTCTTTTTGTAAGAAAGTATACTGTACTACTGTAAGCATTAGTTCATTAAACTATCTTAAATACAAATATAAGATAACTTGTATATTGTAATTATGTAAAAACAAAACATATTTTATATGAAAAACTCATTCATCTTCATTTGATTTGATATTTATTTCTTAATATTTATTCCAAAATATATGAAAGTAACAATTCAGAGTGATCTTCATTGTTATGAATGAGTGAAATAAATCTTCTTGACATACAACGGTGATCATACTTTTGAGATTATATAGAAAGTATGATGGTCACTGAGTGGAAACGATCAGTAATAAGAAATTCATTTTACCTACACCATGGCCAAAACGCTGTCTGAACTGTATTCGGATTTAGCGAAACCATCGGTACTATCTATTAATTTTGGTATATTTCTTTGGAAATTAATAGTCAAACTAATTGTAACAAAGAGAAGACATTATCAGTTATATAAGAATATTGTCAATACCAAACAAATGCTTCAAGTTATTCATTGTAAAATCCATCGATAGTGGATCAAAAAAAGATATAACTCAGTCATCCCGAGTATACAAGTCCCTTCTCATCGATCAGCTTACTTGGATAAGCTACTAACATGTAGTAACCTAGATAGGTCATCAGATCATTTAGTTTACTTATTAACAATAGTATCAATGTGGGCTAACAAAATATGACTGTAAGCAGGTTCGACGAAATATGTCCTATAAATCAAATACACAAACGTAAATGAAAAAGACCAACATTGAAACAAAGTACCTACAAGTGAATGAAGTTTTTCCTCTTCTAATGATAAACGTTTAGTTTCGTTAATTAAATCCTGATCTGATAAAGGAATATTATCACAAATCATTTGATTTTTGGCAAGGGATTCTGTTCGTTCTGTGAGAAAGTTAAGTTGACAACGTAGTTGACGAACTTGGACACAATCCGCCAATTCTCGCTGACGCATCTACAAAACGTACAAAATATTTATAAGTTGAGAAGTAATGAAATAGGTAGTTCTTAAACGAAGCAATATAGGCTTTCGATGAAAACAGTACAGATAACACCAGTGGTTTACAATAATTTAGTTATATATTCAAACAGTTCGAAATAACCATATATCCGCCTGAAAATATTAAGTGATTATCAATTTTATAAAAGACTGGAAATAATAGGAAACATGACTACTTCAAAAGTTATTTCATCCATGCAAAAGAAATCATACTTTATTAAACCTTAATAGATGTGAAGTAATTTTCTATGTTAAATGAAATATTTCTCTTTAATAAATGTTTCATATCAAATAAATTCTGCATAAAAGAATAGTCTATTCATACAGATGTTCAAATGGTTTTTTGACGAACATTAGTCCCTGTTGTAAACCACGAAATTTAAAATGGATGAAAATTTGAAAGTAAAAACAAAATCATAACGCTTAAAATCTCTACAAACGCTATATTACTGAAATATTAAACATACTTTATGTTCGTTGATTTGTTTTTTTAAGAGTTCGATATTTTGACTACAGGTGTCAGCCTCAGATTTGACAAGAGATAAGTTCTTTTGAAGTTCTTCTACAGTTTCAAGAATCACCTTCAATCGTTCTAAGGGTTGAGAATCGAATGGAAATTTGACCGAAGTACATGCGTCAGTCAGCTTCTTCAGTTTTTCACCAATTTCATTAACCTATTTAAAGCAGTAAAATACTAAAGTTTACAAGACGATAATAGAAAACATCTCTGGAAAGAATTGCGAGAATTTATTACTGTAGATAAATTTATAAAACACTGATTTAGGATAGTTCAATGACCTACCTTTGTAGTAGCTTGTTCAATATTTTCTTCACGGATCTTAGTAATACGACTGCGTTCATCGCATGCTTCAGTCCATCGACGATGAACAGCTGGAAGTTGCTCAGATTCTAATTCAGATAGTTCTTTTTTCAAAATTTCACAGTCACGAGTTAAACGAGAAAGATCATTCTTCAGTTGAACATTATCTAAATTCTCTTGCTGCAACTATAAATAAACAAACAAAGAAATAGATTATTCATGATATCTTTTTGTAAAAAAAATAAATTTCACTAACCAGAACAAACAAACAGAAGCATACCTTATGCATTTGATCTTTAAGTCTATGCATTTCACTGACCGCTTCACGTTGAGCCTGATTCAACTGATCAACACGCTTTTGTTTCTCCTCAATAGTTTCAGAAATTGTTAGTCTAGAGAAGCAGAATATTTTTAAAGCGACTATTTATTATTATCACGGATTGATAAAAGTTAAAAAGAAAATCTCGTAAATGCACAATATTTTCAATCTAATTCACCACTAGTATATAATTGAGATTATCAAGAAATAAAGTTCAGAAAGCTCATTTTTGTTAAATGATTGTTTTGAAATCGGATATTTGATCATACCCACTATGCCTGATTGATTACAGAGAGTAAAAAGCTCCTGTCAAAATTTTAAAAAATCACATCTTTACTGCGGGCAAGAAAAACCGTTTAATTTAATGATTTTGAAAACTAGGTTCCATGTGCTATTCAATGAAATTTTTTTCAATTAAGATGAAGTTATTAGTAAATAATCCCAGCATTTTAGTAGTTCTTCAACTTTGATCACACTGAAGTCCAACTTGTTTTTAAAAAAAACTGGTAATGTTATGGATGTTCCGTAGTTAAGATAAAATGGTAATAAATCGTTTAAAACGTCCCAATTCAAGCGGATCTCAGTTTAGAATAATAACAATGTATTGATGGCACTGTGTTACATATGTATGAGTGCTACATGAGCAACAGCAGGACTCATGTTGCACCCTTTAGACAAACTTTGGATAAAAAAATTATTTCAATTCAAATAATTTCTACAACAATCTTTGTTGTTTATGAAGTATTTTACGGACCTTCTTTTGTCGAATGAGATTTCTCTGCACGGAATCAAAGTGACTTTTGATACAAAAGAGGATATAGTCAATATTCAATGGAATGTTATTTACTTTCTAATAATCAATAATAATAGGTCTTCTGAAATAAAAAGTAGAAATCACCAATTGGTTACATATATTCACACAGCTGGTTGACATTAGCGATAGTGTTTTTATTTCGTGTATATGAGGTTAGTACTTACGTTTGTTAACTAGATCTCTAGGTATTGAAGTTACCCTTATAGTGATTGGCTAAAACTCATTTTATAATCATTCTAAATAAATATTTATACAATATCATGGTTTTTTAAAATAGTATGCTTGTACGTTACAATAAACTATCAACAATATCATCAAACATGATCAAATGATAAATTTTAATTCTACACTTAAACGAAAGAAATGTTTACAAAAACAAAGATATGAACGATAACTGAATACAATCACTTACAATGACTCACGTAACGACTTTCTTTCCTCTTGCAACCCATCAATTAATTGAGAATCTGCTTGGTAAAAAACAGCTGAATGTTATTTAGTGCAAAATGACACAACAAAGTATACAAATTATTTACTATAACGAATAATTAATCATGTAAGTTTGTCTGTGAAAGCAAATATTCTATTTACTATTATTTAACAGATTTATAATATATATGAAGTTATGACAGAAAATCAAACTCGTAACACCTATTTTTTCTACGGCAAAACTAAATGTCAATCAGTCAGTCAGCAACAACATAGAACTTCGTACGTACGTACGTACATCAGTTCGAGTTGCCATACCACATATATCAGAAACATTAGGGTCTGAAGATGTTATTTAAGGAGTATAATACAATGAAATAAATTTGGAAAGAGAAAAAAAGTGACATGAACAATTCTGAAGATTAGAATTTGGGAGAACACTAAGAATGCATGCACCTGCGCCATTGCAAACGATTTTGAGCCATGTCATTCAAGGTCTCTAGCCATCGGCTGCTATCGTCTCGCAGATCCCAAACAGGTAGTCTACATCTACCAACATGGTTCAGTCCACTTGTCAGTGATTCCATGGATTTGTGCCATGTTTTGGTCTGCCCAACCCTACACCATAAAACATTGCACGTCGGGGAAGTCGGTGGTTGAGCATACGTAACACATGTCCCAGCCATCTCAACAGATGAAGTTTCATTACTTCTTCAATTGATTTGCCATCCTTACCTAGTACACGTTTCCTAACAACTGCATTATCTACTCGGTGGTCCCAGGATATACGAGCAATGCTTCGGCGGCCTGCTTGAGCATCTGGGCTACCTGTTCCTGTCATCCAGATATTTCAACAAGTTATCTATTTTTGTTTGTTTTAATATATCATTATGTTTATTAATCGCACAACCTATTCTGCTGCGTTTCTGAAAAGTGTACAACCTTTCGTTGTCAAAGTTACAAACAACCCAATAAGAGACAATGTGGTTGCTGGCAATATACAACCAAAAGAATGCATATTATTCAGATGTTCATTTAGTGAACTGCTAATATCTAACTGGCGATCACTCAATATTTATCGCCAGGACCGACCAAGAAGAAAGAAACGGAAACTTGTTGAAATACTTTACGCTGAGAATTCTATATTGTACCAAAAATATAATATTGAATAAAGCTGATAATAATAATAATAATAATAATAATAATGATCGAATACTGGTAATCTACGAATATCCTCTACTCTTACCGGCCATGTTTCACCGCCATAAAGTAAAACTAAACGTAGTATAAGATTTGTTTAGAAAACAAATTTGTGATGATCAATACATTTAACTAAAATATAGAGATAACAATTGTTTGAAAATTTCCAGGTTTTTCATGGTGGTCTAGCTTCAATTGACTCATGATCTCACCAATTGAAATAAATTTAAAGTTTAGTATTAAAACAGAATTCACTTTCAAGTATGAAATATATACATATATTTATTAGGGAAAATAAAAGGAAGAATAATTTCACTAACCGGTTGTGATATCTGTAAATTCATATTTGAATTGATTAATTTTAACTGTTAATTCATAAGATTCATTTTCTAAGCGTTCTAATATTGCCAAATCACCTTGTACTGTTTTTGCTAAAGATTCATCTGCTTGATATGTTTCAAGTAGAGCACTTGTCTATAATGTAATAAATGATAAACTGAGTTATCATAGAAGTAGTAAACGTGGAGAATGGTTCAATAATCAAAGACAAAACGGTAATTCTTTCATATATATATTGAATAAGTGAACACATCAAACTCAGACTTCGTAGTAGACAAGTTAAATAGTGAATAAGTAGATACAATTTTATTACCCGTGAATTCCAGTGATACCAGAAGATATATTTCCTAATTGAACGGATATTACATAAAGATATGACAAATAAGCCTTATAGTTAGGTCTTAGTTTAATTAAAGTGAGTGAACCTAAGAAAACAATTTCCTATAATCACATTTTTTTCAAATTATCTCTAATTTTGTTTAATTTGTCATTTGTTACTGGATATATAAGAATATTATTTTACTGAAAGAAAAATCTTATCCTCCTAGCCACTTATGTTGCCTTTTGACACCAAGTCAGTTGGGGTCTTCAGTTGATAATTGTACCAATACGCACCAACTATTGATCAGCATTCTATTCATGACCCTAACAATCCCGAACATGCTCATTATTAAGTACGATAACTATAACTTTATACAACATATAAAACCTAATTAAGTGAAAAACTAATGAAGTTTAATATAAAAGAAAACCAAAACAACTATTTCAGGCTGTTAAGCAACAGGATTTTAAGAACTACGTCCCAATTCACTTGGAGAATAGTGTACACTAAACATTAGCATTATTTAAATACAACAGTTGACAGCTTATAAGAGATATGGTTGTTTAGTTTTTTGTGATTGCATGCTAGTTCTTTCTTTGAAGGATAACCACACAACAGTTTTCTAAATCATATTACCGCAATAACATCTGTTGTAACCAGACTGCCTGTTGTCGCTTTTATTTTGTTTTCTTGTGTCCTAAGGTCGTTAAACGTTATTATAAAAATAGAGTTGTTTCTTCATAAATTTAACTTGAGCACGGAATGAAAAGTTACGCTTACAGTCTCGTCTTCACTAGTAGTGTAGGTATTATTTCAGTTGAAATGTTGTCGTATGACAAATATCTAGTTCATTCGAGTTCCTATTCGTTACCTTTTATTAAAGGAATCCTCAATCGTTTGCAAATACAATTCATTGTAGGCTAACATTGACAAGCGAAGAGTAAGTGAACCTGACGGTTATTTATTTTGGCAAATGTATGGATTGTAGTCGTACCATTCATTTCGACGTCGAACACAAAAGTGGTAAAACGTTAGGATGTGAAATACAGACGTTAAGTTTCATGACTAGCATTTCAAATGCAATTAATTAAGAGGAAAGTACTAACTAAAATTTTAATAAGTAAACAACATAACAAGCTATGAATTTTTCGTAAACAGTCAATATATAAATGAATAGGGATACAAATATAACAAACCTACAAGCAGGTAAATTATCTCAGTACACACTATATTTTACCTTATCTCGTTGACTGCGTACATCAGTAAGTTTATCTAATTCAGCTTTAATTTTCAACTCTAGAGCAGGAATTATTTCCTCATGTAAATTTTTGATCTAGGGAAAAAAAAAGAAAAATTACTTAGCAAACCACTCAGGTAGTAGTGGTCTTAAATAATATTGGTTTCTGACACATACGCGTGCCAGTTCAGGTTACCACAACACAATATCAACAAAATAGGATAAAATTATCAAACCGAATATCAGAGTAGTAGAGGTAATCAAAATATCACTAGTAGTAGTGGTAGAAAACACTAAGTATAACATGGACAATATGATTTGAGAAAAACGAAAAGGTATAAGTGTTCCAGGACGAGGGTAAGTGCATCTGCGTCATTGTAACTAATTCTGATTAATAAAATTCATAGATTTGTAAGCAAAGAAAAATGATGGCCAGCAGTGGAGCCTACACGAGCGTTTCGTCCTATTTGGATTCCACTGCTAGTTACCGTTCATCTCTGTTTATAATGCTTGTAACTTAAGGCAATATGGAGGCAATACTCTTAAGATGCACATATGCCAATAAGAGACTGACCAACTGCAGTTCTAAACATCAGTGGTAAGATTCAAACAACCAATAAAAAAACGGATCCACAAATTTGATAAATAATGTTTTAATATAAAATCATTAACGTACAATTACTGGGCACAAAAAATACTATAAAATATAAATTTTTCCTAGATAATTACTGAAATTTAAGTATGGTATGAAATTTCTTCGTAACAACATGGCTTTAAATTGAGAAAGAAGAAACAAGTTTGCAGTGACTGATCAATGATACAACGTATCGGTCACCAGCTGAATTACATAAAAGGTCCAGGTTTATTTTGATTAATTCCTAATTTACAAAAACCAAAATGATTAACTTCAATGTTTAGCATTTCCGAATTGCAAAGTACACAATGATATATATAAATATATAGTTTAGTGTAGCTATTTTAGAGGAATAGTATGCTGGTAACTCGGGTTTATATCATGCTGTTCTCTTCCTTCCTCATTCAATTTTTACTCTCGTCAGAAATCGACAATGCATTTATTTATTATTCATTTGTTTAAACACATAAACATTGTACAAGGAGGCACCAAATAAATATGCGCCACATAAATCATCCGATTTGTGTGAGGGTTGGGATACTACACGTGTGTTCAAACCGAAGCAAGTAGTTTTCTTAGGGGTCCACATCCCGAGCCTTTGACCTAAAGGTCTAATCCACAAAGCAGTGGAGCGACGTCAAGAGATGCAGTCCCATGGTAAGCGGTGACCAATAATTAGGTCATATGCCATTTATTCCTTTAGGATCCTGGAGCCCATGTGCACCACTGATTTAGGATCAGGGTTTTCCAACTCCTCTAGGTGGATCCTCCATATCTACCAACTACGTTAAAGCGCCGCACATTCCATTTTCGTCCTCTCAATTTCGTAAACAACACCCCCGCCGAGAAAAGACATAAAGAAAGACACAATATTGACGTATTAGTATCTGGAACAAAAAAATCCCCACATATTCCGTTAACAGTGTGAACAATTTTGTATAATGACAACCTATTTCACGATTAAATATCCACATAATAATTTCACCAACCTCTAAACTTATGGGACGTAACTCAACCAATGATTCAAGACGTGAAACTATTTCTTTCAATTCTTGTTTTTTACGTTCAAATTCAGAAGGCAACGTTTTTATTCGGTTATCAATCTGTGTAAAGCAGAAAATATAATCGTAAAGTATGTATAAACATGCTATAAACAAAATATACAAATTAACATTGATATTAACGACATATATCAACAATAAATATTGCTTACAATTAAAACTGTGATTAATTATCAATCAAGTCGGAAGAAACAACTCAAAAATCATCACTACAAATGTAATTACCTCTAGAATATAAGACTTTATTTAACATAATATCAATATGATTGTACTTAGTCATCCCATAATGAGGAAATATTTGTGGATCACAAAAATTAATTCTCTTGGTTATTTCAAACAAGACCTCATAGAACAAAAGTTCCAGTGAAAAGTTTATTGGGAAAGAAGCGGTACATAAATGTAAAAAGAATACGATTTTAAAGAATTGTTTGTCTATTGCAACAGTGTCTGAATAATTCAAACTACATATGGATTGTTACTAGGTAATATGTGGTGACCAATGAAGCTCAATTATGTAAGGTGGTAGGCAGTTTCACACGAATGCAATCGCACGATAATTATGTTATATATTTGAGAATTGATTGAAGTTATAAATGTAAGGCACTATATGCTGACTCAGTAGTTAAGAACTCGTTCCGAGACCTAAAAGTCTAAAAGCTTTTCTTCAGAGATGCGACTGGCAGTTAAGAGTAAATATGATCAAATTTATTGCATAAATTCCTTAGCAACTCAAGATTAGTATACTCAGTCATCAATCACACGCTATGTGTATGCGCTAGTGATAATAACCGACCACTCAAATTAAAAAATATATATATATTGGAAAATTTTCTGTGAGACCATAAAAGTGAGTGATCTGACTAAACATTATCTTCATTATCGTAGTTACATGGACAATTAAAATGAAAGGCAAAATAATGTTTAATATACACTTTTATACTACTCACTTCATTTAATAATTCATCACGTTCTGCATCACTGTCAAAGCATCGATGACATACTGGACAATCAGAATTTACACGAGACAATCGATCACGAAATTTACACCACAAAAATACACTTCCTTGTTCGTTTGCATATTCTCTGAGATTAACATAAAGACAAATTATCACAATTACAGAAAATCGATGTTACAGACGGTTATAAAACAACGTTAGTATTTAAAAAGATTATTATCAATATTAAAGTGCATCTAACAGAGAAAAGCTGAATAAACAATTAAAATTATTCAAAACAAAGTCTAATAGATTTATATGAGAATTTTCGCATGACTTGGAGAATGACGTGTTAGCAGATAGCCAGTCAGAGTAAGTCATGTTCCACACAGAAACACTTTTAATGTCTCATTATTTATCCAATAAAGGCGAAAACAAAATCAAACAACAGTTTAGAAACTTCACATGTACAATTTTACAACAAACACGGATTTTTGAACTATGCAATGACACGGATTAAAAGTCAAGCACGAAGTATTTGAGTGAGTATATGGTGTTATGGAGCTCCTTCTGGTAGCGTTATTTCGCCAATGTGAAGCTAATTTACAGCATATATGCTTTTTATTCAGACTTAATCACAACGGATTTGACAATTCCATTTTATTTTCGCTCAATCCTCGAGATTTTCAAATCTGTTCTAAACGCGTTTATCAGAATAGCATTGTTTAATAAGCTTATCTACGATTACTGTTAAAATTTTAACTAAGTCATTACGTCTAGACACTAAACAACTAAATATAATTTATCATGAGGATGGATATTGATGCCTACTAGTTATTTACTAAATGCAGACTAATGCAGCTTAGAGGCAAATTATTGTTATGCCATAAATTCTCCTCTAGACGTCTTCAAACAATACTACTCATTATTACCAGCCTCATGTGTTTCGAAAACTGATATATTGGGGATGATGGATTTCTATTTTATCCCCCACTGTATATCAGAAATTTCAGTACAAAATTCGAGACAGTTATATTGTACTGAGCTGAAACTTGGAGAGCAATAATACAATATGTGACTCATTTGAAACATATTTGTCATAGTAAATAAAGAATTCAGTAAAAGTGACTGTATACTGAAGGTGAACAATATTCTATATGGAACTATCAGAAGTGCAGTTAGATTTAATTTATTTGGAACTAGCGCTTCACATCGACCAAATCTTTCACAAGAAACAATTACATCGTGGAAACAAATAACATCCAATATGACATCATCTAGAATTTTATGAAAATTCGATTCCTCCGAAATATTTCCCTTAGATTTATTGAGGACTTCACTAAAAAAAATAATGAACCATCCGAACAATCGGTATCTAACAAAATTGCATCACTTTCTATCGGGATGTGATTCATTCGACATAATTTCCCCAGGTCCATAAGGAATTTCACTAGAAATATTTCAACAATTAGGAAAGCGTATATCTGGTAGAATTGCATGAGAAATCTAATCACAAATTGATTGTCTTCAGATGATTCTGAATTTCACTTGATACACTTGCGTCCAGTGCTTTGCTCCGATTTTTTCTGTACATAAGCCCCTCAAAGTTCCGGGATAATTCAGTATTAGTACTCCCTCACCCCATCTAGTTTATGCAAACCTCCCTTCATATAACTGTATACCTGCTCAGCCATATATGTATGTAGTACAATGATTGTGATTTCCATTTTCTAAATAATCTATGATTATCACTTAATATTGGATTGTATTCCAATTTCGGCGACAATTTTTGTTCTTAATTAGCACTCAGCATGTATGATTAAAATACTCTGAAATAAATATCTGTTTTTGACTTCATCGTAACTGTAGCAATGTGGAAAGTAAGTATGCAGGCAAAGTCGTTCCAACTAATAGTAAGTACTATACAGGTCTTGTTGTGATACGACTTCCTGAATGCTGCTATTTAGAAGATGAGGCACAAAAGAAACCCACTTTAATACTCATTTATTGAGATTATTATATGTGCTAGACCACTTTTCAAGGGTCCTCCTCCCACGTGACCAAGTTAACTTTAATGTTGCTTACAGAGACTGCATAACGAGCATTATCAGAATTATCCCTATGGGAATAGCGGATTCGCTCTTTACAATGTGCATTTTAGATAATATTCACTATTGCAAAAGCTTCCGATGACAATCTCGTTGCATATGAAAATATATCAGTTTTTGAAACACATGAGGCTGGTAATAATGAGTAGTATTGTTTGAAGACGTCTAGAGGAGAATTTATGGCATAACAATAATTTGCCTAAGCTGCATTAGTCTGCATTTAGTAAATAACTAGTAGGCATCAATATCCATCCTCATGATAAATTATATTTAGTTGTTTAGTGTCTAGACGTAATGACTTAGTTAAAAGTTTAACAGTAACCGTAGGTAAGCTTAGTTAACAATGTCTTTTCAACACTTTGATATTTAAAATTAAAACACGAAGTTCAGAGAAGGGATCCCTTTTCAACGAATTTATTATCAAGGTATACAATCGTATATATATGAATTTTTTTTTGTTTTTTGTAAAAGTACTAATTCTGTAAGGAAATGTGAACACAATTAACCATGACGTATTAAAAACATTATAATACTAGATTACGTAATACGAATAATAGCAATAGATTTAGTGAAGATAATAAGATGATTAAAATGTTTGTTTATTCCGAAAAACGCGTTTAGAACAGATTTGAAAATCTCGAGGATTGAGCGAAAATAAAACAGAATTGCCACAGTCGTTTTCAGTCAGTCTTCCAGAGGTACATCAAAAGGAAATTGGGTTATTTAGTCTTTGTGACTTGAGAACGTAACCGCAGTGCACAAAGGACAACTACTTGAGGACCGTCACACGAGCTTTTTGTTAGTAATTTCTGTGTTAACTTCGTACTTGTTGAGATCTTACCGTCGGAGGCAGAAATTCGTGGTATAAGGCGAGGTGTGCATTTTTAGGGTCGGTCTTTCAAAATCCGCCGTTGCTTTGTCGGAAGGCAGCATCGCTGTTATACTGGTTACTTGACGGAAACACCCTATTGCCGTCACACCTCTGTACAGTCAGCTGTACGACCCCATTCTTGGACAAATTTTCTTTACATTAGCGAAGCTACCGAAAGCAGCTCGATAACACCCTACAGCTGCTCGGTAATTCCGAGCATGACGTTTAAACTCTCTATGGTAACTGCATCCTAGTTAGCTGTTTTATACTGGCATTTAATACTTTCTTGTTGAAGCAGAGTTCTGATTTTGGGGACTTATCTAGTGTATCAGTGGTTGAATAATACTAGGCAATAAAGGTAACTTTTTCGAATAAGAAAGACTTAGGAAAATCGAATAAAAATAAAGTACGAGCAATTATAGTATCTGTTTATCGTCTTTGTAATTTCAGAAATAATTCATATGAATTGTCAACAACAAAAACAAAACTGATCACTGAGTCAATACTTAAAAGTTTGAAAATATTTCTTTGAAAAAAAACTCACTCCTCTAAAGAGCCACGTCTATCTTGAAGATTAATAAGAGTTTGTTCCAGATCATCTGCTCCAGGTACAGATAAAAGCTTTCCTTCTAATATTTTCAGTTGATCTCGTTTTTCTTGTAGATGATTTCTGTAAAGTATATTTTTTAAAAAAGTTTAAACCAATTGGACTTATAATAAAGAGTCTACATATTCATTCAAGTTGTAACTACAAAACATTCAAAACTTTTACTAAACATAATTATTAGTTCTGTTTTAATAATCTATCTCAGCGTTCCTTTACTTGCTCTCCTATTTGTTCTAACCATAATACTTATTTAGTAATCCATACCTCTAGTTATTATCAAGAATTTGTGGCGTCCAACTCGGAAAAATATCTCAATTGTAATATGTTGTTATTTCAAAGCATTTCCATGTGCCTCTGAAGTTTTAATCAATTTTTATAATAATTGTAATTATTTATCATGGATATCGTGTTTGTATTCAGTAACAAAAAAAATACAATCGTAATTCGGAAGAATTCTCTAAAACGTTTACATGATAGAACAAAACATTTTACCTGGTAAATTTAGAAGTAGCTTCAAGCGATGAGCGCTCTTGCTCAATTTTAGCCAACTGTTTTCTTGTCTCTCTAGTTGACTGTTCCAATCCATCAAGTCGTTTAGAGAATACAACCTTTAAACGTGTTTGATCATTAATAAACGATCGAATATTATTAGGATTCGCTTGTTCTTCAAGTGACTTTTCTGTAGCTACAAAAGGAATCACAGAGCCAGCGAAAACTTGTTCCAATGCTTCAGCATGACGACTTCGTCTTAAAGAAACAAAAGCATTAGTTTGAAACAAAGGGAACAGTAAGAAGTATTATCAACGGCAGGACTATTGACACCAAAATATTAGTCATTCTAAATATTCATAAACGTTTTTAGCTCTACAGCTTACATTTTGCGAATCCCTTCAAGTTTATTCGCTCGTTCTTTCTGCATGAGTTCTAACTCACGATACTTACTGGCACTTTTTTGAAATGTCGCAATTTTTTCACTAAAAAAGTAATAAAATTGGGAAGACAAACAAATTATTTGTATTTAATTATGAATTATCAAATCCAATATGCAAACTATGATATAACAAACAATGAATCCATTAGAGAGTTATTCAGAAGAGCCACATGCCGGGGATTCATAGAGCTACAAATCATGAAATGATTACTTTTAGACATATTGCTAATAATGGTTCGAATATTTGTCAACAGTTTGGTTAGAAAGAATAATAATAAGAAATGAAATGAGAACTACAATATGGTATGAAAGATAATGTGCTAAAAATTAGTTAATGTCTAAATCACGTTTAGCACAGTATTCAAGGAAAGGACCCTTCAACCGCATCAACTGGTGATATACAAAGGATTTGTCTCTACTGACAAAATGACAGAGTTCACAATCCCATCGTAGGAATATAAATATTAGGGTGAAATTGGTAAATTGGTAAGTAGTATAGTATCATACAAATAACAGCGACCATAATTACTCTAGTAAACTGATTGTATGCTCCAGTTCCTTTTTCTTTCCCAACGATTCTGTTATGGATTGATGTAAGTTGTTCAATTCATGATCCGCATTTAAATCTCGAATGGTGATTTCCTAAAATAGAGAATTCAGAGTTAACACTGATAATTATTCCTAAGATGGCGTTACAAAATTTAATGTAATTTGTGAGGATTTGTGTTAGCAGCAACGTCCTCAATGTTCAATACAAATGTCATTTACAGCACTTTCCGCCTATTTCCATTCAGTTAGTGAGTGTACAGCATATCGGATTTCATTTCAAGTGACCGGAGTTATGCACAATTATCTTTTGTGAACACATCAATTTAATGCATACGATATGCCGGAGGATAAACATAGTAAACGTTACAGTCTGAATGTAACGATTGGTGAAAAAAACTTCAATATGTAGCACCCACCGACTAAACGAATAAAAAGACACTGGAAGTACTGAGTACGAAGCAGCTACCGGACACTGAAAACATCGTAGATAACCTCATCCTAAGATAAATTTTTAAAATGCACCCAAACATCGTAACCACACAATACAGTGAGCATGAAAGCTACCTTATAAAGGATACGCACTTTGGATTAAATATAACTCTAAATATACGTTTTTCAGTCATCAACTGAGTTGAAACATATCTAACTTAACTACTTACATATAAACTGTATTATTATTTTATAATAAATAATAATAAGGCATTCTACTGATATATTAAGTAACATTTTTAAATAAGCATTAAAATGCTTTCATAGTAAACATGATTACTTTTAGGATCTTTTTACTGGAATCAAAATTTATTCATCAACTGATCACAAAAAAAAATTTGAAAATGTCCCATAAAATGTTTATTGAGAAATCATGCAGTTGATTTCTCTAAATGAAAATTAACTAACCCGTTTTGATTAAAGTAAAAAGAACTTTTTATTTATGAGTTAAGATGGAGTGTTGCTAACAGTGGAATCGAGAACTTGCGTTTCGTCGTGTTTAGGACTCGTCCACTGGATGGACCTGCAGAGTTGATATTTACACCGCGACTTAAACCCAGTAACATTCGCTTCAAATATCATCGAGTTATCTACTTAATTATAGACTCCAGATAGCCACTAGCTTGTGTAATGGAGTGAAGTTTATTTTATTTTCTGTTTATAATGCTTTGTGACTAAAGGCAATATCGAGGCAATCCGTACAGTATGCATATATGCCAATAAGAAACAGATCAATTTCAGTCTTAAACACCAATAATAAGATTTAAACAACCAGTACAAAAATGAATTATTTATTTGTTTTAAAATTTATTGCAGTTAGATGAATATTAATTCAACTGACAAATTTATTTTAGTAATTGTTTATTATTATTATTATTATTATTATTAGCTTTATTCAATATTATATTTTTGGTACAATATAGAATTCTCAGCGTAAAGTATTTCAACAAGTTTCCGTTTCTTTCTTCTTGGTCGGTCCTGGCGATAAATATTGAGTGATCTCCAGTTAGATATTAGCAGTTCACTAAATGAACATCTGAATAATGTGCATTCTTTTCGTTGTATATTGCCAGCAACCACATTGTCTCTTATTGAGTTTTTTGTAACTTTGACAACGAAAGGTTGTACACTTTTCAAAAACGCAGTAGAATAGGTTACGAGACTAATAAACATAATGATATATTAAAACAAACAAAAATAGATAACTTGTTAAAATATCTAGATGGCAGGAACAGGTAGTCCAGATGCTCAAGCAGGCCGCCCTTTAAATTAAAACAAAATAAATAAGTAAATAAACTTCATTAATGATTATTAACACTTACAGATTTATGAAATTGATCTCTGACTTTTTCAATACGTTCATTTAATGAATGTTCATTTTCTAAGCGTTTTTCAACACTAATCATTTCACATGATCGTTGATTCTAATTTAAGAAAAAAATATTTATACAATTTCTTATATGACTGACTTTATGTAAACTTGTTAATCTTTTGTAAAGAACCTATATGATGTGAGCAGAGAAATAACGATGCCATGACAAGTAACGGAATCTACTTTTCGAGACGTTATTTCAATACGAAATTTGTAAAATGCTAACATTTAGTTTTGTCCCTAGTTTATTCTATAAACTATAAGCTTTTGTTTAATGTATGATTCACTGTCATAATCCTTTATGTTCCAGAGCTATTGTAATTAAAACATAACCTTTTGTACTCTATTTTTCTACTTCATACTTGCTAACAATTGCAGCGATATCTTTCAAAAGACATGGAATCATTATGGTAATCTTTTTCTGAAATAATATCATCATTTTATCCATAGAATAGTTTGGATATAAAGACAACTAAAGAATAAAAGGTAATGAATTGCGTCACCAAATAGAAGAAAAAATATATAATGACGTTAGCATACATAATTACGTTTTATAGTTTGTATTTTTTGTTTTAGAGCAGCCAATTCATCTCGAACAACATCAACATCAGTTTGAGCTTTCCTCTCTTCATTAGCCGATAGCAGCTAAATGAAAAGACAAAACATTGAAAGAAGTAATAATTTCAGAATTCATGCAACGAAAAAGAAATACTTTTATTCAGAAGAAATGTGTATGAAGAAGACAATTCATTATTCTGCAGGTGATGTATTCATCACGAATTGATCTCAAGTGTTTCATCTTAATATGTACTTAGTATACGTAAGTGGTCTAGTGGTATGGCACTCACTGTGTAGCCAAAAGGTCCTGGGTTTTGATCCCTGGTGGGTTGTGAATGCTAACTGCAGAAGAGATCGATACTAGGAATAAGTACCTACCAAGTCGCCCCTGAATTTTAATGATGGAGCCAACTATTAACGAACACCACCATACGGATTAAAATAATCACAATTCATTAAAGTTAGAACGACAAAAAGGCAATCGTTTAAAACGACAAAACTACAACATCTAAACTCTTCCACAATTATTTTCTTCATCAGCTTTATTAGGAAAAAATATATCAAAGTAATTCGGAAAAATTTTCTAAGTAAATTAATTTATTTTTCAATGGGACAATAGAATCAAAGAAAAATAATCTACAAAATGTGAAAATGTAGTACTGAACAACAGAAGAAATTAAAACTGAAAAATTTAATTTCTATGGTCTTTCAGGGAGGCTTTTGAAGAATTGAAACAAAAATTAAATAAATGAATATCTATAAAATGAGGAAATTTTTCAAAGGAATAATAAAAAAATTGATACATTCTAAATGTTATAAAATATACATTTTATGATCTCCAATTGAGCATTTGGTGAGATTATAATTTACGGACGACCTATGACCATGGAATGTCCACTTACTTACTATGGTTAAATGAGGATCACAGGTTAGTATGAGGGATTAGGATTAGGATTTATAATTGAACATTAATGCTAGTAACAAGCTTTAATGTTTCCATTACGAACTGACATCAGCTATAATGCTAAAATGATATTCAGCCAATGAATGAAGGGGTTTCGTGCCAAAATCCAAGACATGTTATCTTAAATCTGGTTGGTTTGTTCATAAATTATAGCCTCGCCGAGTGTTTTTATTTGAGAGAATGATTATGGACCATAATTTGATGTGGTTAAAATAAATTTTATTACCCTTATCGATAAGTAACAATAACAGGAAACGTCGTGCATCAATTTTTTTTTAAATAATGTCAAAGGATGAATGGATTCTAGAAAATGTTGTTCAATTTTAAATCTCAAACTGATTTTAATCAGATCAACATTGTAAAACACCGAAGCACTAGACAACCATATCACTTCCAGAAATAGAATCCAGAAGCTGCAGTCTCGTGTGAGAACGTCTAACCTCTAGACCGATAGCCCAGCATTCAACGGTGCTGATGTCTAAGTTCAATCAATTCATGATATTGATCAACCCTTATCCATTTTGACAGTGGAAACATTTCCAACAAAGTTTGAACCCTAGCGACCACGGCTTCTTACTAGATCTTCAGAAAATCCATCTTGAAGCTAGTCACTAGTGAGTACATGATCAGTTCGTGATTTAAAACTGTGAAAATTCTACAGCCTCTACAAATCCCCCACATTAAAAATAAAAATTCCGCTGTATTTTATATTGTCCATAGAAAATGAATAACCTGTTAGTTCAGCTGTCATTAACTGGTTAGTCAAAGAAAATAAATAACTATCAGAAGATTCACTTATAATTTATGGGTTAACCTTAAAACTCAATAAAACATGAGTTTTTTACGAATTGCGACTAGACAATAGAACCATTGATTCTATATGCCAGAATAAAATTTATAATATAACAACATACAGGTTACTTGAATAGCATACTAGTTAGCAATCAGTGCCCGTATGTATAGGGAGTAATTTCTACCATCAAAGTGTCAGGCACTTTTGTAAACTGAAAGCTCATTTCAACCCAATGACAAACGAACATTTTATATCTAGTTGGACAAAATAACCTCATAAGAAAATCATAAGTAGTACATCATAACTACGCAATACAGAAAGCATAGAAAAAAATACTGAAGATATACAACAATCAAGTGTTCCACACATTTTGAAGTGCACAATCTTACCTTCACTGCTGTTAATTGATTTTCATATTCATGTAGTAATCCATCAACAAACTGCACAATATACTCCACATCCTCATCGGTGAATTGTTTCACATCTGCATACTTATCACCTGGTATAAATAACAACATATATAACGAAACAATCATCTTCATTATGTAAAAAGAAGTATTTAAGTTAATTCATATTAAAACATCATGACCAATATGCTAAAATACATACATATATTAAGTAATACTCAGTGTTAAAAGAATCAATACAATAGACATTTCTACACTGTTACTATTAATAGATTTCAGAGACAATTTATGTGTATAGTATATCAAAAATATAATAAAACTCTTCCATTTATGTAAATGATACATTATTTAAATATATCCCCCTAATGCGGTACGGTTGAGAGCAGGGAGTTGAAATGCTCTCACAAGGTCTGGAGTGTACAGCCACTTCTAAGGAAGTTCTACTCACTTCATTCTCGAGGCGGTGTTGTCTACGAGATTGAGAGGACGAAAAGCTAATGGTCAGTGCTCCAACCGGGTTAATGAGTACGGAAGATCTACTTAGGGGAGTTAGAATACCCTGTTCACAAACTAGTGGTGCACATGGGTTCCAGGGTCCTGACGGAACAAAAGGGATATGAACCTATTGTTGGTCACTGGCTACCGTGAGACTGAGCCTCCCAACGTTGATCCACTGAGTTTTGGATAAGACCTCTAGGTCAAGGGCTCGGGGACTGGCCACCCAAGGAAACCACCTGCTTCGATTCGGGCGCCCTGACAATATCTTAGCACTTACAGAAATCGAATGATTTGTGTGGCGTATATACATTTGGTGCATCCTTGTACCAATGTTTATATGTTTAAGTAAATAAATAAACCTTATTTTATATATTAACTAACTCAGAGAACTTATAACAAACTATGTAACAATTAATTCGATAAAAGGAACAATGTTCGAAGGTAAACAATCATTTTAAACAAACAGAATTTTTAATTGTTCATTATCATTTAGATGATATGCCTTTTATTTCAACTATTCAGTTAATGCTAGATTTACTCTTCTTTTTACATTAATGGTTGTCATATTATAGCCCACCTCACTCATTGATATTCGATTCAACCTCATCACTACTCAATATCATTTGTATTAATTACAAATAAACAATTTGTGGATCATTTTCTTCTTCATGAATTGACTTCAATGTTAATACTATTGAAAACATAGAAGTAAATGAACAGTTGTTTTATTCTGGTACAGATGAACTTGTTGAATAGAATTTCATTGAATTAATTGTTTTATAATGTAATTAAAAAATTTTTTCCTTGAAAACAAAAATGATGCTGAATAATTTTTTATAAAATAATTTATTTGTATTGTAATTTCTTAGACACGATTAAATTTTCGTATAACTTAAGGGAATTATTAAAACATACCGGGAATGTAATTTGTAACGATCGAGGCTAAGATCATATCACGATTGATTATTGCTTCATTCAAACGCTAAGAAATTTAAGATAGTATACTTTATGATGGACGGAGATAAAAATTTAAAATGATAATTAGGCTAAACTTAAAAATTATTCTTATCTTTTGAAACATAATCAACACTAAAATAGAATTTATGCACTCTAACAACTGATAACACTAATTTGTAATCTTAATCTACCGATATACGATAAAAATACGATCAAAGCTTAGTTTAAAACTCATTAAATAGATAATACTAGAATAAGGCAGTTACACTGAATTTGCAAATCTCTGGATAGAGTTATACAGTTTTTGCAACTCAACTAGTTGAGACGTATTCCAACATGACTTGGACTAGAAGGTAGTGACGATCCTGTGATAGTTTTTAAATACACTTTTCATAAACAGTAAGATGTTTTTTCCTCAAAAATAAGATATATCTTGATTGTATTCATACTGTAACTGCATAGATTATTCATACGATTCATCCAAAAAGTATTACTAGGAGAGATGGATTACAATTAGTTACCATGGAGTGACTAACAATTAATAAATAAACCCGAACTCCCTATTACATTTCACTTCATTTAATCTCACTTATTATCTGAACAACTACCTTCAGCTGTTCTGAACAGTTGGTTTATCTAAATACATGATCAAATATTTGATCAAACATTTATTTTTATTTATTTACCTTCATTTTACGCAATCTAAGACATGCTTGACTTACATTATCTATAAAGTTAATCGATTTCATCAAAAATTCGCCGATCAGAGGTGGTATATAGTCAGTGACATTTTTCTTTAACCTCAGATCCACTTGTATATACATACAACTGTTATCTTGACACACTTTTCTTTACACATTAGATGTTCTGTACGTACAACAAATTCTTACTTCCAACATTGTTCACATGATTGGATGACCTGTATGGTATACAGTTAACTAGAGAACCATGTACTGATGTATTTTCTTCGATTTTGGGTTGTGGAGATTGTTAAATTTCATCGAAATCATCAACTAATCAATGCTGCGCCAACAATGAAAATCTTAAAGCACCGAACGGCCGTTTCGTCCTGTTATATCCTAGTGAAGATTACATTACGAGTAACGTCTGAGACTTATTAATGGACTAATATTATTTGTATATTCTCATGGTATAAATATTCAGTAACTAGATTATGTATATCTATATTTCCTTTGTTATAAGCTTTACTTTGACCTATATATTATTATTGTACTATTTACTGTTCTTAAGCTATGTTCAGTTTATTGACTACTGACTCCTACGTTCGCAGCCACTTTTTGGTTTTATTGTGTAGAAATGTTATTTCCTATTTTATGGTGCGTTGAGGTCTGTTTGTTTGATATATAAACCCAGTATGTCTGAAATAAATGATTCGATTCTATTCGCATAGTGGAAGCTGCTATTGGTGTTCTGGACTCAAGTGGATGGGGTGGACGAACATAGGATCAATAAGGACGTTAGGCTGCTCATACCGGTTGAACGTCATTGGTTTGGTACAGTCCTAAGATTGTATAAGTTTTATTTCGATTGGTGGATAAATCACGCGATAAAAAGCCGGACATAAAGTCACAATACGTCCTAGTATGGGACTAGTCAGCAGTGCGCATCCACGATCTCGCACAAGCGGTTCAAACGCCTAACCTCTCTAGACCATTGAGCCGGCACCCAAAAGTGTTAATGTCTAACTTTATTCAGTGCTTCCAGATTTCAAATAGTGGTTTAACACTGATCAATTCACGATTTCAGTGAAATTTAGAGACTTTCACAACCTCAAACTGCAAATTATCACGTGTTCACTATTGACTAGCTTTGAGAGGTAATTGTCTGAGTTTAAGTGAGAAGCCATAACCAGGGGAGTTTAGTCGTGTCGGGTGTGAGGCGGTCACCCACTGAAAACAATGGGAGACGGTTGTGCAACATCGCAACTTGGTTGAAGGTAGAAATTAACACCGTTGGATTCCAGCTCAGTGACTGAAAGTCATAGGTTATTAATATTCGGTAATTTTGGTATTTGATTACATCTCCTTGAAAAAGCTTGTAACGAGCGAAATGTTGGATTTATTCCTTAATGTTACAATACTTTTTTTCAACAAAAGTACAGAATCATGAGAAACCGAAAGAATTAGTCAGCATTTTCTAGCAACAACAAAAATTATGAATAGAATAAGGAATTCACACAAAATGATTCAGTATACAGTATATTCAGAAGAGAAAATACACAAGCCATTTTACCTTAACCTCCATTTCAATTTGTGTTTTCTCAACAATAGTTTTTGTTTGATTCGTTTCCAAAGTATTTAACTCTTTACGTTTTCTTTGTAATATATTTTCAGACTGGAAAGTTAAATAACAAATGAGATATGAGAAGTGGAGCTAATGAAAAACAAATGAATGAGTATACACAGAGGACGTACGGTGATCATGAAATTACATATTCTTGATGAAGAACAAAAAAACTACCTGGAATGTCATGACAGTAAACAGAATTCCCTAATTGAAACCATTTGCAAACACCATATTCAACGAACCACTTTGAATGTTAAGCGAAATATATTTGACTTAGTTTTGATTTTCCAAACTTTATAAACTAATTTCTTTTTAATTGATATGGCTAGAGAAAATTCAGTAAAATTATTAGCAATATTATTGATGGGTCACAACAAAAGAATAGATAAAGAAATATGAACAATTTCACTGCAGAAAGTTTTAAGGTTTAACAAATAAGTGATATTCATTGTGGATGTGTTTAGTGTTATTGAGTCTTTGTAGCGAAAATTAGTAACTGTGCATCTATTTGTCTATTTATAATGAGTTCAATGGTATTACAATAAGCTAGATAAGTCTTTTAACAGTTGAATTCACGAGTCGATCAAAGCTAGATCACCGTTGAAAACCTTGATGGGCACTGCTGAGGAGTCCCACACTTGGACGAAGCGGCCGTCCAGTTGTTCCAGGTTTTTAATGGTAGTCTAGCTTAGATCGGCTCGTGAGTTCGACTGTTAAAATACTACATTCTCCACAAATTCCCTTACCGATGAGAGTCATTATACATTTCATTGACAGTATGAAGATAAAATACACTAACTTGATTCAACAGAAAAATTTTCTTTTCGTATTCTGTCTCAGCATCTTCAATCAAACGCTTTAATTCTTCATCACTTCCTTTAATAAAAAGAACTAGGCTACAGAACATTATCAGACAAATATTGGAAAATGTTTACAGATCAGAATTTAATTGCATAATTTCCAGTAAATTAAATGATTATTATTGGTTACAGCTAACAGAAGACTAAACTTAGTTAGACAGACATAAAAAAACGCAGTAGCACTGGACAACTGTTTTATTTTAAAATGAGAATCCTCAGTAGCTAGCATCTACGATCCTCCACGATATCGAACTCACTATCTCCAGGTCTAATGAGGAGTGTTTGACCATTAAACCACTGAGCCGGCATCCAATGGTTTACAAGTCTAACTTTAATCAATCCGTATTATTGCGCAGCCATCTTTATCAGTGTTGATGTATAGCTGTCTCACACTCAACATGGTTGAATGCCACTGATCACGGCTCCTAACGAAAACTCAGAGGATTACCTCTTGAAATTAGTCGCCAGTGTGCATGAAAGTTAGTTCATGGTGTGAACTATAAAATTCAACAATCTCCACAGATCTCCTATTCTATTAATTGTTGATTATTTTTCATAATAAGTCAAAATCAACTCAAGTAATAATCAAAACTATCTGGGAACCATTATTTGTATAAAAAGTAACCACACCATTATTGACTAAGATGGGAAGGATAGACCACTACATATTAACTTAGCGATTCGACGGTAGTTCAATTTCGAAAAGATAATGAAAAGATTGGGTTCTCTGTAAATAGTTTAAATGGTGCTTAACAAATATTTGTACGCTAACTCTTAAATCACAAAAGTTGAAGGAGGCTAGATATACTACGAGAATGTTCAGTAGTTGAGATCGGGATTTCAAGCATACAACCTGACTGGTTATAACCTGTCCAGACGTACATATAGATTACAAACAGATAATATTGTATTGTCTGAATCTTCTGAATGGTATAGTAAAGCTGAAAATTAACATCTGCGCAATAATTAATAACAGTGGTTACGAGAGGATATCAAACAACAAGAAATCAGCAGAAAAAATTGAGTGGATTACTGGAATTGTTACCTTGATACTCGTTCTGTATGTTTAACATTAAATTATTTATTGTGTCTGTTAAATGAGCACGTTCAGCTTCACAAGACTCTGCAAAAAATTTTTTAAAAAGATCCAATTTGTTAACAAGTTCTAGTTTAAAACCACTAAAATGAACAGACAGTTAAAGTTAGTATACAGGAAGATCTTAAACCAGATCTCATTCTTTCGAATTTTAATGATTAATAAGTGAAACACATTTAATAATATAAATAATATGAACATAAATATCAATTATTTTCTGGTCGATTCTAGGAAACAAGATACATAAAATTTAGATTTTACATATTCATCGAAAATGACATTTATGGACATAAAAGAAACGAAAAGTCAGGAATACAAATTTCTACTGATTGATATCATAAAATTATGATAGTAATAATAATAATAATAATAATAATAATAATAATAATAATAATAATAATAATAATAATAAGTACTATTATTATTATTATTATTATTATTATTATTATTATTATTATTATTATTATTATTATTAACCTTCTAACCAATTGCTCAATTTATTTAAAACTACCAACCCTAGCCTCGGTATTCATACCTAAGAACTACAAAATGGAAATGTTAAAAAAACTTACTGATTTCAGCTTGTAGTTTTGTTAGTTCTGCGTAGCGTTCTTTATAACGGTTGAGTTGTTCCTTTAGACCAAAAATAAATTTTCTATTAATTTACAGTGTTATAATACTCAATCTTTTAAGACACAAATTTCAAAGCTAGTGATTAAATTATACAGGATAACCCTCATTAGTAAATCGTGTACATTAGCTGACAGATACATAACTTAGAATTTTAAGTTGAGATTATGAGCCGACCAATCTTAGGCCACCAATGGAAACCTGGAAGCGACGGATGACCATTTCGTCCTGGTACGGGACTCCCCAGCAGCGTGCGTCCACAACTCCGCACGCGGGATTAAAACCAAGGACCTTCTGACTCGCGCCCAAACGCCTAACCTCTAGACCGTTGAGCCGGGATCCAATGGTGTTAGTGTCTTACTTACTTACTTACGCCTGGTACTCCCAATGGAGCATAGGCCGTCGACCAGCATTCTCCAACCCACTCAGTCTTGGGCCTTCTTCTCTAGTTCCATCCAATTCTTGTTCATTTCTCTCATGTCTATTTCCATTTCTCGGCGTAATATGTTCTTTGGTCTTCCTCTTTTCCTTTGACCTTCAGGATTCCATGTGACGTCTTGTCCTGTGACGCAGTTGAGTGCATTCCTCAATGTGTGTCCTATCCACTTCCAGCGTTTCTTCCTGATTTCTTCCTCCGCTGGGATCCGGTTTGTTCTCTCCCACAGTACGTTGTTGCTAATAGTGTCTGGCCAACGGATCCGAAGTATTTTGCGTAGACTATTGTTAATAAACACCTGTATATTCTGGATGATGGCTTTCGTAGATCTCCAGGTTTCCGCCTCATATAGTAGAACTTTCTTGACATTTGTTTTGAAAATCCTGACATTGATGTTGGTTGACAGTTGCTTTGAGTTCCAGATGTTCCTCAGTTGTCAATATGCTGCTCTTGCTTTGCCGATCCGCGCCTTCACATCTGCATCAGATCCACCCTGTTCATCAATGATGCTGCCCAGATATGTAAAGGTTTTTACAATCTCCCGGCCCCCAAATGCCCTGGTATGGCTGAGAGTGGGGTGGGCTCGCCCTCACTCTCGAAATGCACTCACACGGCCACGCGTATACAGCCTCTGCCAAAGAAGTCCTACTCACTGCCTTCTCGTGGCAGGGGTGTTGTTTACGAAAATGAGAGGACGGAAAGCGAATGTCCGGCGCTTTAACCGGATTCCAAACCAATGGTGCACATGGGCACCAGTATCCTGCGGGAACAAAGGGCGTATGAACCAATTTTCGGTCACCGGCTACCATGGGACTGCATCTTCTTACGATGCTCCACTTCCTTGTGGATCAGACCTTCAGGTCAAAGGCTCGGGGTGTGGCCCCCTAAGATAACCACCTGCTTCGGTCTGGGCATCCGAGCAGTATCACAGCCCGCACACAAATATGAGGAACTGTCGATAATTATGAAAAATACTTTTCTTGCTTCAACTGTTAATCAAACGATTCACATTATTATTACTATTGTTATTATTTACTACGTCATTTATTCACTCTCTTTTATTCCTACTCTGTCTATCCTTATTTCTCGACTTATACAGCAGCTCGTCTATGGTGGAAATTCGGTTCTATCTAAACGTTCTCGAGTAGAGACGTTATCAGATATGGCTCAGAATAGAAGCCAGTGGCGATCCTGCTGTAGCCTTTTCCTTTCTTCATAAAAAGTGGTTGCTTCTTCCTTAACTGAAAGATCTCTTCTGAGTGTACGTTTCTGTTTCCCCCATTATGATTATTACACTACCTTACACTGATCTGTTCGTTATCGTTTTTTTACACTCCTTACTTTTTTCTTCCTTTTCTGCAAATTCTCATTGTTTTGTGTGGCGCATATATATTTGGTGTCCTCCTGTACCAATATCAGTCAGTCAGTCAGCTACAACGTAGGACCAGGCACATATGTGCATCGGTCCAGGTTGCCATACCGCATCAGCACAACAAGATGAACACCGGATTCATAGCAGTGGTTAGGTCAAAGGTAGTAATATGTAAGAGAAAGATTGCATATAGAGATATAGTCCTGTACCAATATTTATGTGTTTAAATAAATAAATAAATAAATCGGAGAATCCTGCTTTTCCTTTTGTGTATATTGAGACCTACTGCTGCTGAGGCTGCTGCCACACTGTTCGTCTTCCCCTGCATTTGTTTTTGCACGTGCGATAGAAGGGCCAGATCATCTGCGAAGTCTAGATCATCCAACTGCATCTTAGATGTCCATTGTATCCCGCGCTTCCCTTCAGACGTTGACGTCTTCATGATCCAGTCGATCACTAGGAGGAGGAGAAAGGATGGGAGTAAGCAACCTTGCCTAACACCGGTCTTCACTTCGAACGACTTTGTCAACTGTCCTCCATGCACAATTTTGCAGTGTAATCCATTATATGAGTTCTGTATGATATTGACTATCTTCTGAGGCACGCCGTAGTGTCGAAGAAGCTTCCATAGTGTTGTTCTGTCCACGCTATCAAATGCCTTTTCGTAGTCAATGAAGTTGATGTAGAGCGATGAATTCCATTCAATTGATTGTTCCACAATGATCCATCGAGTTACGATTTCGTCTGTACACGATCTATCCTTACGGAATCCTGCCTGTTGGTCACGAAGTTCGGCGTCTACGCCGTCCTTCATCCTGTTTAACAATACCCTGTTGAAGACTTTTCCCGGTATTGAGAGAAGAGTGATGCCCCTGTAGTTATGACACTTGCTGAGATCGCCTTTCTTTGATATTTTGATCAGAAGTCCTTCTTTCCAGTCTTTTCGTACTTGTTCCTCATCCCAAATCTTATTGAAGATAATGTGGAGTATCCTTGCAGTTGCCGCTACGTCTGCTTTTAGTGCCTCTGCTGGAATGTTGTCTGGTCCTGATACTTTGCCACTCTTGATTTGTCTGATGGCCATGCTGATTTCTTCAATTGTTGGTGGGCCAACATTGATTGGGAGGTCCATGGGTGCTGCTTCGATGTTGGGTGGGTTCAGTGGAGCTGGTCGATTCAAGAATTCTTTGAAGTGTTCTACCCACCTGTTTTGTTGCTCTTCAATGTTGGTGATTACCTCGCCTTCCTTGCTTTTCACTTGTTGTTCTGGTTTACGGCGATTTCCAGAGAGTCTCTTTGTCGTGTCATACAGTCGTCTCATGTTTCCTTCTCTTGCAGCCTTTCCCACCGTCGTTGCTAAATCTTCCACATATTTACGTTTGTCAGTCCTGATGCTCCTCTTCACTTGTTTGTTTACTTCTGTGTATTCAGCTTGTGCCTTGGCTTTTTCTGCTCTTGTTCGGCTGGTATTGATTGCTGCTTACTTGCTCCTCCTTTCTTGAGTCTTATCCAGTGTATCAACAGTGATCCATTCCCTGTGGTGGTGCTTCTTGTGACCCAGGACCTCATGACATGTTGAAGTGATTGCCTCCTTGATCCCCTTCCAGTTGCTCTCCACAGTAGTTCCTTCTCCATTGAGTAGATCATGAAAGGCCTGGAACTTGTTGCTGAGGACTATCTTGAATTTGTTGAGTTTGTTAGTATCCTGAAGAAAGGCCGTATTGAACTTTTGCGATATTGTCCACCCCATTGTCCAGTGCTTCTTGAGTTTCAATTTCATCTTGGCGACCACCAAGTGATGATCTGATGCTATATCAGCTCCTCTCTTGGTTCTCACGTCCTCTATAGTCCTCCTGACCGTTTTGTTGATGCAAATATGGTCGATTTGGTTTTGCGTGGTGTGATCCGGTGAAGTCCATGTGGTTTTGTGTATGTGTTTATGTGGGAATATGGTGCCGCCTATGACCAGCTTATTGAAGGCACATAGGTTTGCAAATCTCTCACCATTTTCGTTCTTTTCTCCCAGTCCGTGTCGTCCCATGATGTCTTCGTATCCAGTGTTGTCCATTCCAACCTTGGCATTGAAATCTCCCATCAGAATGGTCAGGTCCTTTGTTGGGCACTTCTCGATGATTGACTGCAGCCTATCGTAGAATTGATCTTTAGCGTCTTCATTGTAGTCGTTGGTAGGCGCATAGCATTGGATGATGTTCATTGAAATGCCCTCTTTCTTTGTTTTGAAGGAGGCTTTGATGATCCTTGGTCCATGAGATTCCCATCCTATAAGTGCCGTCTGTGCTTGTTTGGACAGCATCGATGCAACTTCTTGTGTATGTGGAGCATTTTCTTCTTCATGGCCGGAGTATAAAAGAAGCTCCCCTGAAGCTAGTCATTGTTGTCCAACTTGCGTCCAATGTGTTTCACTGATCCCAAGCACCTCTAGGTTGTATCTTCTCATTTCTGCAGCAATTTGGAAGGCTCTCCCGGTGTCCCACATTGTACGAACACTCCATGTACCTAAATAAATGGTTGCTCTGGTTGTCAGAAGGGGCATCGGCCTCGTAACTTCCGAAGGAATTCAGCTTTCATCATGAGGCGTCATAACTCTTCTAAGCGAAGGCCTGACTCCCGGGACAGAGTTTAAATCGTTTGAAATATTTTTTCTGATTAGCGTTTTATTAGCGAGTTAGTTTTCTACGGGATGGGGACGCTAACCCCATGCCCAACCCTCCTCCTTTATCCGGGCTTGGGACAGACAGTAGCCCCCGGAGGGACTTCAGGCGGAGTTGTGTTAGCGTCTAACTTTAACCAGTTCACGAAACTGCACGACCATATTCCATTGTCTTCGGTGAGTAACTGCCTCACACCCGACACAGTTGAATTCCACTGGTCACGGCTTAAGAGTTACCCGTTCAATTTTAAAATAAACTTTGGAGGGGGTTAGCTTCAATCATGTATCGACTGTAATTAAATGAAATTTATTGGTATGTAAAATGTAAACCGAACACTTCATTATAAACTTTCCTAGGTGTCAAAACTAAGCAAAACAATCTCATTTAAAGGATAGGAAAGGAACATTCCTGGAAGAACATTATAGTGCTCTTATAAACGAACGATTTTTCAAACTATTTTACAGTACTGAATTCTAAAGCGAGTCCTATTCTGTTATGAATGTACAAATATATATGTCAAAAGTCATCGTGAATCCAATAGCTATATATTGACAAGAAACGGTCTACCCTCCAATCGCTGAACACTCCTAAACCGAGTACACCACATCGGAACATGTTTATCCCAAGATTTGAAACCACTCAAGTTATTATCTCAGTTTCAGATCAAAAGGATAGTTTGCGTAGCAATGTTGAATTGTGCCTACGAACATAGCATTAGTCAACAAAGTAGAATTATCAAAATACCTCTTAATCCCTTAAAAATTCTAACGTAAATAATATTAGCTAAATGAGAAGTGTAGTTACAGGAAAAACCGATGAAATGACAAGTCGTATGACTATGAACGACATCTCGGTAATGGACAAGACTCGTCTGTGAATAAAGAATAACTTCTAGTCCCAACTGAAGTCAACTGCGATAAACTGTGATAGACTTCTTGCAAGCTGTGATAAATCTTCATACTGAATTTCATCAACATGTAAGCTTTGTATAGTTATAAACACAACACATTCGTCATCGTCTAAAAATACGAGCTGGAAAACACCGACAATCTGGTCAACAACGTCTTCAATGACATAAAATTCATAATGGAACGAGGGCCAATTAACAAGCTATAGTTCTTAGATGTATCAATCAGCAGAACCAACACAAGAAAACTGGAGACTCAAGTATACCGGAAGCCGGTCCACACATTTCAAATTCTCAATCACAGTAGCAACAATCCAAGAACTCACACAATTAACTGCGTACAAACTTTATTCAAAGGAACGAGGAGACACTGCTACACACCTGCATCGCGGAAAAATGAAAAAAGATATCTAGAGACTATCATTCAAAGGAACGTTTACCGAATCAATTTTATCAAAAAATACCAACCAAACGTATCAGCAGAAACAAGTCAAGTACAGAAACCAACAGACGGATCATCCTACCATACATAAAAGACATATCAGAAATTACGAGAGTGTTGAGGTCTTTTAGAATAGATGTAGCACACAGACCAACAAAATAGCTTCAATCAGTCCTATGCCAACCAAATGACAAAAGAAAAATAACTGAAAATAATTTACAAAATAAATTGTTCCAACTGCGAAAAACACTACATCGGACAAAGTGGACGCTCTCTTCATATTCGCCTGCATAAACGCCAATCGGCGGTCTAGTGCCATGAAATATCCTCACTTATATAAATGAATCTGGAAAACTGTGGACACACATTCGATTGAAAAAATGTTGAGATCTTGGATAGAGGTAATTGTAAAAACACCACAGAATGTTTTAGAAGCTTGGCACTCAGGTCAATCGGTAATCATCAAGCACACTGAAACTGATCTAATCTATCAACCGATCACAAAAATTATGGACAAATATAAGGCCAAGAATCAAACCAATGGAAGATACAATCGAAATAAAAAAGTAAACAATGATAGGTTAAAGGTCAACAATAACCAATCAACATCAAGGTCTACAGGATAACCTGTGAGCCATATGTAGAGAAATTCGAACACTTCACTTCTACCTGAATTTGGTGCTAATGATGTCGTTCAGAAGGACGATGAAAGCTCCACGACCAAACCATCTAGCTCAGAGAACAATACGCCACCGAAAACTAAAATAAAAATCACTATTTTTATTTACATGCAATTCTAATGTACAAATAACAACACAGTATGGTAGATACTGATCAACGCAACCAAGTCACCAGCTATTATTATATGCTTCATAGACCATCAGCATATACGAAAGACTTAAGACACAGTATAGGAACTCGTCTTTAGTAGATTGTATCATAAAGTTAATAATATATATTTAAGTGCACTCCAGAACATTGAAAGGAATTTAGATTTATTACAGGATTTTAGGTTTGAAAAGTGAAATAATTTCTACAAGTGGATCTCGAAATCGGTGCTTTTTTTAAAATCACACGGTTACCTTTCAATGGTTTTGTTTAGACGACCAAATAAAGATTCTTAGAAAACCGCAGAAAGATTATTTCGTTACAATAAGTGAAAACAATACTGAAACATATTCCAGGATAGTTTTGAGGCTGAAAAGTACACTTGTTGGTAATATGTAAAACGACAACGTCCCATATAGTCGGAAAATTCATAATATAATAACTGTTACGATTTGTTCAGAATATTTTGACATGCTATGAATAATTACTCATGTCGAACACTCTATTTCTCAGTGTTGTGTTGTATAAAGTATTTTTTGTGTGATAAATACATAAAGTAAACCCAAGTTGAGTTTTAAGCAGCTTTAATGAAAATTCTTGACAGCCAATAAGTATTTTAAAAGTTAGGTCTTATTGACTTTAATTGACAATTTTTTCATATTTATACAACTGATTGTGTGATAAATATGCCTTACTTCATTTATATTTAGTTAAAAGTGAAACTACCTTCGAATATGAAGGAACAAGTTAGTGATCTAATTTTCTTAACAAGAATAAAAAAATAATAATCAATTAGCGGATAGTTGACTCTACTTACAACGACAGGTTGAAGCTTTGCAGACATTTCTTCTAGATTTTTTTCCTGTTTTTCAATTGAATGAAGTGTTTCTTCTCGTTCAGAACGAAGCTGAAATAGAACAATATACATGAATATGTATATTTCTGTTAATGATAGAATTCCACTCATAGTAAAATTATTAATGATTAATGCCATAAAATACTTCAGATATCAAGTTATAAGAAATGTAGAATTTTACAATTACGAGATTAATATCAACTGGAATGTTTCCAAATATTCCATAATTCAACTACATATTGAATTCTTATTAAAGGTTGTTGTGGAGATCGTTGAGTTCTGCAATTTGTATAACGAACTGGTTTTAGTAAAACAGCAATGTAAGACCGGGAAGCACAGGACAACTGTTGTGTATTAGTATAGGAGTTGTCACAAGTCTCAATTCACGACCCCCTTGGAATGGAACAAAGGGTCTCCGGGTCCCATGGTGAGTATTTAACCTTTCGACCACTGAAATAGCATTCAACAGTCTGTATGTCTAACTTCGACACCGGTGAGGGCGTGAGTCTCATGTTAGGATGAGGCAACTGTTCATTGTTTCTTGGTTTCCATTGGTATCTTTTTTAACTAGAATCGGCCTGTAATATAAACCATAGGATACATAGTGTTACATATGAGAGAATGATCACCAAAAAATTCATATATCAGGAAGAATCTTTAGAATGATAAAGAAATATATGACTATTTGAAGATTAAAGTCAATTCAGTTTACCAAAACGATCACACTGTACCGCTAAAATATGAACAAATCTTTCACGATGATAGATTATGTTGATGAAAAAAACTCAGTTGACTAGATGTAAATATTCAACAATCAATACAATACATCAAAGCATTGTGTACAACTTAAGTCAATTGGTTCGTTTTAACCTTGAGCAAAAGAAGTGAATTATTCTAAAAGATAATAAATATATTTTGTTCTTTATCCTAATGAGTAGAAGAATCATACTTCAGACGTTTGGTGGCCTAATGTAAGCCACTTCTTCAGAGTAAATAAATAACCAAATCAAATTATTTATGCACTTTAAAGAAGTGGCTTACATTAAGTCACCCAACGTCAGAAGTACAATTTTTCAACTCACTGGGATACAACAAAAATAAATCTATTATTAACTTTCTACCCAGTGCTCAATTTATTTGAAACTATCAAGTCAACCTTTGGCATTGATACCAATAATCTGAAAGATAGATTAAACTAATATTTTTATTGTCATCTAGAAACCCGAAATACTATAAAACCAATGGAAAATAAATAGTTCAAATAAAAACGAATACCATTTATGATTACATGAACGTTAGATTTTCACTATAAAATATTATGAGAATAATTCCTCCTTCAGCCTTCTACCATCAAACAATTTGTGCAAATTTAAACATAAACGAATAGAAATAAAAATGATTTACTTTCAAAGCTTCATCACGATTTTTGGTTAAATGTTTCAACTCAGTTTTATATAATTTAACATTGCCATCCTGTAGAAAGAGAAATTAGCAAGAACTTAAAGGCAACAGAATAATCATTGTACTAATTAGTTCATAATAGAAAAGAAATAGAAAATACAGTGCAAAACCAGGTAATAACTACACTAGTTAGGTGTTATTCAATTAAACTTCAATAAAGAAGAATTACATGTTATTTATTTAATCGACTTGTTTAAATCGTTGTTCAGTAAAACAAACAAAAAAAGTAACCTGAATGAAAAAGTTTTTAAGCGGAAGTTGGGAAATGACTTACTGATACTATAAAGACAAAATGATAAGGGGAATTCTAACTTTTTTTCCAGTGAAGATCCGGAAATTTGAAAATCATGACGGAAAAAAGAAGTGAACTTTAATTCAATTACCTAACAATTATCTACACATTAAGTCAGTCAGTTAGTTCCAACGTAGAACCTGGTACGTGTGTACATGCTCAAGTTGCCATAACCCTTGAGCAACATATATTAAACTATGAACTGGACGGAGACTGTGACGGTTAACTAAATTACCACCACCATTTAAACTGAAGTAGATGCAACCTACAGGCTCAAAAACCATTTCTTAGTAAATAAAATACATTAATAAAAAGCCTATTCCGGACGTAATAATATACACGGTAATTTGTAGCCATTGTTATTATACGACTGAAAAATCACATTTAATACATACGACTATGTTATAATCACGGCAAAATTAAATAAAATTATTATTAACAGTCCAGGTTAATACGTTAAACACTATTTGCGATCAAGCAAGTTGATTGAACCATCTGGGCCTGAACACCGACCTATGAGAACTTATTTGAATAGGTAACACTGACAATATTGTACATTTAAAATACGCTGAATAATATAGATTATGAGTACATGTTAAACCTGCTTTACTTTTTTCCAATATCAAACTCGTTATTAAACTAAGGGATAGGCATCCAGGTCGAGAGTGAGGCGAGTCAGCTTTAACTTTCGAAATGCTCTCACATAACCATGCGTATACAGTCACTGCCAGGGAAGTCCTACACACTTCATTCTCGAGGCGGTGTTGTCTACGAAATTGAGAAGACGAAAAGCTAGTGTTCGGTGCTCTAACCGGGTTGGTGGGTACGGAAGATCTACCTAGAGGATTTAGAAGACTCTGTTTCCAAACCAGTGGTGCACATGGTCAATCGATACCATTTAACTGCACCTACTAACGTTGATCCACTGCCTTGTGGATTAGACCTCTAGGTCAAAGGCTCGGCAACTGGCCCCTTGAGAAAACCATTTTCTTCAGTCTGAGAGCATAGAAAGTATCCTTGTCCACACACAAATCAAATCATTATTACAACTGAAAAAGTTATTCTCGCCTCAATTTGCAATTAGACAAATCACATTCAAAATCGTTTGGTAACATTCGTTTATTTTTTTATACTACATCACTTGTATATTTTTGTGCATTCTTTTATTTTTCAACTTGTACAGCAGTTTACCTATGGTGGAAACCCTTTCCTATCCAAACGATCTCAAGTCATTGACTGGATGAAAGTTGAATGCCACCACCGACTACCAATACTGGACCAGTCTTTCGAAAACCACGTATACCATTCAAACTGGCCTCCTTCAAAGTTCCCACACTAACGCGGATCGGGCAACATATAGGGTTTGCTATGACTTTAGAAGATCTCAACATTGATGTCTGTTGTCTATCTGAGGCCCGTATTCAAGACTCTAGTGAAGTACTACAAATTCGCTCTCCATCTGTCACTTCAAAAAGCTTGTTTTATGCGCGTTTATACACGGACACTGTGATATCTTCGTTTGGTGCTGCTAGCATTAGTTGCTGCTCCTTTAGGAGTACTTATGTGGACTATGATCATGCCCTTGTTTGCGCTAATCCCATCTTACGCATCAGTGGACAACAAATTCATCACCCTAAAAGGATTGGTGTCAGCAAATTGGTTGCAGCTTCTGTTGCAACTAAATATCAAACTCAACAAGGTTCAAGGCTAACTATTAGCCCATTTAAAAGTATAGATGAGCATTGAATGCAATTGCATGACGCCATGGAAATAACGAATAAAGTCGCTTGTGGCTTCGAGAAACGTCCCACTTATAAACATTATGTTTCTACAGGCTCCTTACAACTGATAAATGCACGTAGGTCGACTTCAGGTGACCGCGAGTATGACGACAAACGGAGGTTGTTTCGTAATGAAATTGTGCGAAGCCTGCGTAATGACCGAGAAGCCTGGCAGTCAAAGCATACTGACGAGTTGGAAGCAGCATCTGGGTTTATTTATTTATTTGAACACATAAATATCGGTTTCTGTAACAACGTGAGGAACGACCGAGTTCGTGCTTTGCATGTTACTACCGTACATAATTGGAGGAAAATGTGCTCTGTCATCAAGTCCGGGTATTTTATATCGAATTTAAGAAATAAACGACCAATTATAATGAACTCAAAACTAGCTATTTGATTGGACGAAACAGAATGAAAATGGGGATGAAAAATTGTTCCAAAAGGGATGAAAAAAATTTCACTCGAAAAAGAAACGAAAATGGCTGTGCACTTAATGTTAACCCTCTGTTTCTTCACAACTTCATCGTTAATGTGTGGCGTATATGTGGTTGGTGCCCTCCTGAACCAGTGTTTGTGTTCGAATAAATAATTGACAAATCAATTAATTAAACTGAAAATAAAGGCTGGACGTGGAATATATTAATAAGTCTAACAGAACATTATGTTTAACTCCAGTACCTAAACGCACTTAGTTCTTCATGTGATTAGAACGGAGTCACTGGCATGATCCGACATTGGGAAACAGAATAACCCTAAAAAAACTATATTATGATAAGATATCCGTCATATTTACCATGTAAGGTTAAAATTACAATATTAAGATGAGAACTTATATAAAAATCGAGTTATTAACCTCCCCTAAAAGTGTCTAAGAAACAGATTATTACGATATACGTAAGAATATCGACCGAGCAAAACCTAGTATTATCTATCAGATCAGAGACTGTTAAGCACTCTCATAGACACTTAAATTTAAAAACTAAATATTTTTGAAGTGTCTCGAAAGTTAAGAACAACCTTTTGTAAAATACCTAAATAAAACTAACATTATAATTCAAATCAAAAGTATAACTCTTGATTCACGTATTATTGAAAGAAAAATTCTGAATGCTACTAAGTTTCATAACTAACATTGTCTTGTTTACACTTCCGAATGGCATCCAGTGCTTTCACATAACGTGATGAAGCAAACAAATCGTCGAAACGTTGTTTTACCGATTTCGCTTCTTGTAAAGGCCTATAATGAAGGATACGGGAAACTGTATAACAAGAGATAGTGAATTGCAATACAACTTAAATTGCCAGTTAAGGACTATTGCAAAATGTAAAATATATTTAATAGGTCTTAGGGTTAGCTATGTCATATTGAATTGACACAATAAGTAGGATCCCGGAATAAGAGACTCAAGAAGTTATATCCTTGTGTACTTCATGATGCCATTGAATGAAAGCTTACACCGCAGCTATTCCTTACTGTTATCCGGTATGAAGACACAAACCTTTAAATGACCAGGTCATTTAGGGAGACAAGTCATCGGTAAAGTAATTTGTTCAGAAATGTTTTCTCAAAGGATCATTCGATAGACAGTAGTTTCCTTTCAGTTCAGTGAATCTGGTTAGTTCCGATGCCTAGGACAACTAGAACAATTGAACTTCAATCACAGAGACGCCTATTTGAATTCCACTTTACATAACAACACCTACCCAGTCAAGTATTATCATTAGCATTCATGCAAAATAGTTGATTCGTTGTCTGGAACAAGGAATTATGCATGACTAATGAGATTTATGTCCAGTTACACAGGTTAGAGTGTGATAACTGAATAGTTATGTTCTTTTTTAGTTGGAAATAAGAGATTCCAATGGACGAAGGTAATGCTAGAGCAACAAGTAACCCCTCCAAGAAGGAATATTCAAAATACTACCAAAATATGGATTAGAATAACTGATATTATAAGTGCGAAACAAAAGCACATTAAAAGATAGGAACTGACCAATTGGAATCTTCTTGGTGACAAAAGATAACATTTTCCAAGACAGCTTTTGATACACCCAAACTTGTAACCATCTAACCAAATTTCAAAAAATAAAAAGCCGAACCATTAGTTTAGAACGTAGTCACAACCACAGAAATTATTAAACAACGTAGGCTGTATTTAGTGTGCGAATTCTGAACTTTATTAGTTGCATTACCACCTTCCTATCTAGAAATCAAACTCTTATTTTATGTTGTTGACTCAGTGGTAACATCACTTTGAAGATGTACATGGTGCAGTATTAGCAGATATATTTCATAACTGTAGGCTACAGCAGACTATCGTGTTACTCCCTAGTATAAGTTCTCTTAACTAGTGTATTCAATGACTATTCTTAAGAAATCTTACTTTATACTTCTGAAATAAGAAATTCTTTCTTTTGATGAATAAAAATTGTGCTATACTTCAACGAATATTTCACGATTTTGGTTGTATTAAGAATGTTATCTTTTTTCGGGGCAGAAAATACAGCCATACTTATTTTTCACCATGAATTCATCAACCTACAAATAATAATCCTAGTGTTACACAGATGAATGTGTTAGGTCACAATTGGTTTTATCTAAACATGACTACTCAAAAGCGAAATAACCATTCCAATATCAAAAACTGTCACAAAAACATCTAAGAAAAAAAGGGACTTCATGGCGCTCAGTAAGAAACGAAAATAAGGCTTACTTCCTGATCTAGGTCAGTACATCGTAGGCTGACACTTGTAACACGTCCGTCTGAGTACTGACGTTTTATTGATCCATCCAGAGTTTTTAAAGTCCCTTGCTTTGTCTGTTGAGCGAATATGAAGAAAATACTTTATAGCACTTGGAAAAAAAGGTTGATATTAAAACTAAGCTCAGCGAGTAACAAACAATACTACTGAAACAATCTACCATTAAGCTCTAAAGCGTTTTCTTATAATTTTATTTTTACTTATGAAGTATATTTACGACTAATCAGTCTTCGTCAATTTGCCCCTAGTTCCTAAACAAGCATTGAAACTTGTATCCAACTGAATGCAAATTATCTTGCATATGCTTTTTTAACTAAGAAGTTCACAGAAAGAACTACGCGTTTTACTTCGGGCACGGTATTATCAGGAGTCAACACATTGAAATGTTGTACAAACCTATTGTGAGGGGGGGTAATCAAGTGAGAATGGAAAGAAGAATCAATAGCAACTTAAGTTACATTAACCAAGTAACAAATGTTTAAAACCAGTAGAGTTCCTAGAAAGTATTCAGAGTGCGAATTCAGGTAGCATTAACGTAAGACACATGCAGTAAATACCATAAGCCACAAGGAAGCCAATCACATTTTATAAAACAAATATATTGGATCTAGTAAGTAATGATCGGAATCGTCATAGCCGAAGTGGCTCCTGTTTAGCAACTGTATATTAAATGTTCGTGAACCATCCATTGGAACAACGTGAAATCCAGCATAACAGTACAATCGTCAAAGATGATGTAACTTGAGATAGTGCAATAAAAAGTAATCAACAGAAGAAACAACAGAAACGTGGGAGAACTTAAAAGAAAATTGGGATAATTAGTTAAAATGGCCTTCGAAAAGATTTCAGATACTATGAAGATAAATTTCAACATGAAGTGGCGTCATTTGAAGAACAATTCACAACCAAGAAATAATGGGTAGGAGTTTCATGCTAGTTTCAGATTCATCAGAGGTGCGCACCCTCGACCCGACGCATGTTCAAACTTATAATCTTTAGGTCCACTACAGAATACGATGATATTGGACCGATGAGTCAAAATATATAGGGTTCATATTTTTAATTTTATCGAATTTTTGATATAGCCCGAACCTCATTAAATATCATGTGTAAATTACTTTGAAATAATTTGCTTGGTAACAAAAGCCAGTTAATGATAGTAAAACATCTCAAATAATGCTAAAGTATTTATCAGATTTACCTTCCCTATCCAAAACTCTTGAAGAAATAACTCTTGAGAAATAACAAGCAGATGATTAACTAGCAGAATGCAAATGAAAACCACACAATGCGAAGGCAACAACAGTACTTCTTGTAATTAAGGTGAAAATAATTTTCGTTTTCATTTACTGATGTCTTATGGAATTTCTGTTTTCCAACTTCAATAACAACAACCAAGTATAACGTTGACTTTTTTATTCTACTATATTATTTCACTTATTTGAATACAGTTTCCTAACGTTGTTATGTATAAGTCGACAGGTTTGTCTAGGAGCACCATATCTGTTTTAGATTAGAAAAATTTCCCATATTTTGGGTTAAACTAGCTCGGTTACATTTTTGGTTTCAATAGGAGCTGCGACCAACTAGCTTATTTTAATCCCCTTAGGACACGAGACATTTGTTGATCATTAAAACCTAAGAAAAGCTCTGCGGAAACAAAGCGATGACCAGAATCCAGATAGGCAATTTAGGAAGAAAGGTGGTCTTATGCACCCGATTAATAGTTATTAATAATGTAGTCGACCTGAGACCAGTATTTGGATATAGAAGGAAGATACGACACAGCACATATGCAATAACAGGGCCTGAAGTTGATTTTATGTAGAAACCGGTTGTGATCTATACAAAACTCTAGAGGATATCCCCGTAATATGCTTTGAGACCAACGAGTGCAAATCATCCACCCAGAAGACCCTCCTCTGTCTCCGACATGTACACTTGAGCCCCCAGTTGGCACTAAAATATCTTTACGGATATCACGTAAAGTGTTTGAACTAGCTTTTTGTATCAATGCTATAATTCATCGGCGCGTAGTCTGGGATTATGATAAGACGTTATTTTTAGCGTTCCTTCTCGCTGTGATTGAACCTTCTAACCTGACAGCGCATAAAAGATTGTCAATCGGGATCCTCCACTCTGGTACATGATGCTACGTTTGAAGAGATTACGATATCGCCTAAACCAGAGAACGGAATGAAAGTTAGCAACACTACAACAGGACAAGCTGAACTATTCCACTGAGCCGTAGCCCTGCTAACTAGAGGGAAAAGGCCAGATTCAGCCGAGGGAAATGTATATTTCACCCCACGCACAGACTTTTAAAACCAATAATTGAGGAGTAAATTAGTAGTGCTTTTGTAGAATCTTGAATGAGGGTCTCCGATATTCAGCATACAGTAAAACTTCCCAAAGATATGACCAAGTATATATGTTGTCTGATCTGCACCAAAGTGCGGACGCACCTTTAGAAAAGCCGTATTAGGTTTCGTATATAGTGGAAACAATTATAAAATAGACCATTCAATGGTCTGACAGTTTGGAAAGGGCAGGACATTCAATGGAGATAAACTACTGAGTGAGTTAAGGATTGAAATCGGTGTAAAAAAAAAAACGTAAAAGCAACATGAAAACAAAACAAAGTAGGATGTCAAACCGAAATAAAATAAATCCAATTAAAATAAAATGACTATTATCTTTATGATACTTTCAGCATTAGCGTAACAGATAAGTGAATCACAATTTTCACATTTTTCATGAGTATCCTTTTATTTACGTGTAGGTTGACATACTGGTAATGTGATGCATACTACTTGTGTCAACAGATATAAGTAGGATGTAACATCAATAGGAAGTGGAAAACCTGGTAGCAGAAGGCTATCAAGTTTGACTTGAAGAAAACAGAAACGGAATTACAAAGGAACTGTGAATCGGAAGAATCATACAGAATGTGAAGGACAAATGATGGAAATTTGCAAATGGAATATTTAGTGTATGGTTCTTTTATTTTACCAAGATATTCTGTAATTTGGTATTTAAATACATTTGGTTGTCCCATCACTTGTGTGTTCTCGTTCACTACAGGAGGATATAAATAGAAGTAGGTGGTTTTCTCAGGATATAACTTCCCGAACATTTGATCTAAGGATCTAATTCACAAGAGAGTGAAGCAATGTCGCATCCACCGAGTTATTTCAAACGCCAGAAGTCTGTTTCTCGTCTCAATCGTATAAACAGTACTACTTCGTACGAATGGTGAGTACAACATCCCTGTAAGAAGCTAAAAACATATGTGCAAGTATGAGAGCACGTCAAGCAGAAGAGAGAGAGAGCATCACTGGCATAACTAGGATATTTGAGGTTTGAAACATTTAGTGAAAAAGTTCCAGTTTTATGTAAATGTTGTGCTATATAACTATTATTAAGGAAAAGCGAGATTTTTATCACGACGCGAAAATCATTGACACATCCACTTTGCGATCCGATAACAGGACGATTTCGAAAAAGAATAGAAATTTAAGAAATATCAAACAGAAATAAGTGTGTATTCATAATAGATCTGAACTATTTATGAAAGTGTAGAGAGAAAATCTTACTTTATCACGCTGTGTTGCCATAAGTGCTCGTGAAACAACCATAGGGCAACCTTTAACATCACGAATTTGAAGAGTGACTTTGGCTTTCACTTCACTTTCTTGTGCTATCTATGTGAGAAAATCGTGAGAGAAAGATGAATAGATTACAGTCATCACATATACTTTGTTCGTTAATTATGGTGAATTAGATTAAGTGAGTAACACATTTCTCTATAGGTATGATATTTCATAATTAATTAATAAAGACGTTATTATAACTAAGACGTACTTTTTATGAAATGAATAATCGTTCCATAACTATTTATTCCATAGAAAGTTGGGAAAAAATAGGTAACCATAAATTTTCAAGCAACCCTTAAACGTTAGGAATAATATCAGGCGAGATGACTACCACAAATTCCATATATAAACCCAGAAATTATGATTATTTTAAAATGAGCTTTCTCGTTTTAGAAGAATGAATATTAATCATCAGTTGACTAAGCGGAAAAATAATGCATACGTGCATTATCAGAGACAGAAAAGGTGCATATCAAATATATATATATGTGATTATTCTCATCAGATACCTTTTATTAGTTATTTTGTAGTTATGAAATTTAGTGAAGGACGAACCGACTGACGCTTATACTCTTGAATACTATACAAAACGAGTAACATTTTACGTATTGTGCTTCATTTAAATCAAATAAGTGACTAAATAGTTGACGTGGTATATAAAATTAATAATTTCTAGAAAGAAGACTAAGTAAAGTACATAACTGTGTTATATACGAGATACTTAAATATTTTGGGGTCAGCAAAATTTTTACGTGTAAGGAAATATAATTCAAATTATTGCGATACAATTGAATTATTGGGTTCAAAAAATATGAGAACTTTTGAATTCCACTTCTAATGAATAAGTACCTTCCTAACTTAGCTAGTTCAACGATCGTATGTTCCTGTGTGGTGGCCACCAAGGAATATATTAATCCTGAGATTATAATCATCGCTAACATACTTAAATTTACAAAACTGTTATATCCGAGTGGAGATTAAATTACAGGTAACTTCCGAGGACTATTCATGGACTAATATTCTATAAATATTCTTATTGTATAACTATTCAACAATTACATTATGTATATTTATATCCCTCTTATGACAAGCTTTATTTTGGCCTATAATTTATTATTGTACGATTTACGGTTCTTACGTTATGTTCAGTTTATTAACTACTGCCTCCCACATTCACAGCCACTTTTTGGGCTTATTTGTGTACAAATATTATTTCCTATTTTATGGTACGTTGCGGTCTGTGTGATTGATATATAAACCAAGTATGCCTGAAATAAACGATCTGCGCTGATTCGAAGCTGGTATTGTGTTCTGGACTCAAGTGGAAGGGCTCGTAGGACATGGGACCAATAAGGACGCTAAACTGCCCACACCGGTTGAACGTCATTGGTTGGCCTAGTGTGAAGATTCGTATAAGTCGTATTCGGATTGGTAGATAAATCGTGTGATCGAAAAGACAGACATCCAAGGTCATAACAAAAACCATTCCAACGCTGAAGATATTTTGACTAGATCAACGCATAATCCAATACGACAAATTATTAAAACAAATTAGTGCTTCAAAATTTTATTTAGACGAATTCGAAACGACAAACGATACAAAATTTGGAACATATTTAGCGTTGTGATTATTTCAACACAAATGGGGAATGAGTATGATACATAACTTCATGAGATCAGTTTCAATTACAATCTACGTAGTGTATCCGAACTGTTTCACTACAACTTAGTTCAAATAATAAGGGTTTTGAATACTTACGAGCCACAACTACCATGAGCCTGGACGTCGTTGCCAAGGATACGGAAAAGATGGAAATGTTTTCAGAACAAGTGATAATATATGATTATTTGTTGTATCTTACTTTTTGAACTGGTAAGACAGACCTGTTATAACGAACTAGTGGTATCGAATAAGCCAATTAAACGACATTTTATGTTTAGGCTCTCCACAAACAAGTTTGGTCACCTTAGCAAATAGACATGAATACAAAATCCAACCATGGAATTTCGGTCAACAGTGAACCAGAGCTTAAGAACTGAATTTTCTATTAAATAATTTGGAAGAAAACTAATTAGTTTGAGCACGAAATTTAGTAAGTATTCGAATACATAGTGATGAAAGGGAAGATAAGGACGTTTTATAATGAATGTAATTTATCAAAAAATCATTGGCATGATAAAAGACGAACAAGAAGTGAGTTACTCTAATAAACAACTGGTAAACACTTACTCTAGGATCATGGATAAATGAACACCCAGTTTTCGATCCAGGAGGTAGTTCTCCAGTTGCTGAATATTTCAAACACTCGATGACAGTCTGAAACATAATATTCCTGATATGATTAATGAAGACTTTCTAATAAATTATAATTTGGGCCATAGATACATTAAAAGCATCTGTAAAACAATTAAGTAACTGTTCATTCCCTATAGATATTTTTGGATTTATTTTGAGGGAGAATGATTATGTCAAATGATGACATAGTAAAAATTAAAATCGCTAAGGTACAAGCCAGTTAGTTATTAAATTAATTACTAAATATAACACACCAGATGTCACTTTATTATTCCAATCATCTTTGCTTGACCTTTGATTTTTATATGACAAAAATGCTGCTGACCGTTCGTAGAAAAACCCTTCAAATTACAGTGAAATAAATGAATTTTATGGTGTCGAAATAAGTCGAGCATAATATCTAAAACAATATGGAAACTTTAGGTCAGAAAGCACAATCCTTTGAATAATATTTATGATCTGTCTTATAACGAACGTCTGTAGCAGGAATATTCCCAGGAAGAAGAACGATGAATAGTTAGGCATGTTAACAAAATACTTGACTCTGTACTGAGAAACTCAGTACCTAAAATCAAATTTGGTTTACCTCACCCTACTCCTTGGATTAATTCTAGTTAATTCAACTAGTTCAACAAGTTATTGTGTAACCACTAGGAAAATAATCTTTCAACGGTACGAGCGATAATTGCGAATTTGAAAAATGTTTCCTACTTATTATATCACTTTTAATTTATATAACCCATAAAATTTGCGTTTATGAAGTATTTTATTTGTATACTTAATCCTTTGATAAGGTCTCGGATTAAAACCTTCCTATCTCACCGCAGTAAGACCCGATGACATGGTGAATTATCAATACCTAAAGACTTTTGTTACAACTTAGCAACTAAGCGGTTTCATACAGTCGGTTTCAAGATGCACTTTTTCAAGGATTAATAATATTATATGAGTATCGAACCAAGGTGAATCACTCTTTCAAACTGGGACTAATTCAGAAGTCCTGTGGCAGCAATAAATCCACTTGAACCTATTTAACTGTAAACTGAATGACGATCAGCAGATCAGGGAGAAAATGATAAATAGTCTCGAAGAATCTTGTCCCTATATCACACCTTAGAACTAAAACAAGATTCTTGTTACAAACTCTTGTTAAATGATCTCACAGAAATATTGTAACCTTAATGTACCAACTGTGACAGCGAAAATATTTGGTGTGCATTCCACAGCATCAAGATTGGAAATGATTCAAAGAAGACTTAAACTGTGGATATCCTATCTGAGGAAAACATGGAATAAACAATTATGTTTTCAGACTAATTTCAGCTGACATCCTAATAAAATGTAAAAGGAACATTTGGTACTTGTTATCCAGAACTTTCAGTACCCACAAAAAGTTCTCCTAGAACTAGAGAGTTGGATTTGTAATCGTAGAAAACAACCATGCTAAAAGACGCTAACGAGAGAAAATCACTTAGACCATTTAAACCCTGCTTCGGGAGTTGAAGGATCTTTATTTAGAAGTGTCATGAAGCCTCATGGTGAAAGCGGAGATTCTTTAGAACTTGCTATGTTTGAAGACATTACGAGTTTACCTAATCTGAGAACGGAACGAAGACTGTGACATAATGGCAGATAAGCTAGCTATTTCGACGCGTCCCAGCCCCGTTAACTAGAGAGAGAAGTTCATGTTCAGAAAAGAGGAATATACTCCACAAGCAGCCAGAAGCACGAACTACAACAACAAGCACATGTCAAACGTATATATACAGCATAAAATTGTCTTTGGGAAGCGTTACAAAATAGCATACTAAAAGATACAACGAACCAATAGCGTTTAAGATCCTCCCAAGTAGGAAATACGAAATGAAGGTAAAAATAATGAGATCGTTGGCGCGAAAACAGGAAATTCAAATTTTTAAAATAGAATTACGAAAATAAGGTAATTACCAAGTGAGTTTTGGGATCTAACATCCTCAACAGAAGTCATGGGGCCGACGTCCCATCTGACAACTAGAGCAACTAAAGCTAGACAGAAAAAGTTAGGTTCGGGAAAGGTGCTGTTGTACTCTGACCACGAAAAATAAAATGCTTCGCGCACACAAGGAGTTGAACTGATGCTATTCAAAGAAGTACGAAATGCACTTACAGAATGGCAATCTCATTGACCTAAAATTATCAAAGCTTCCTTCAAAAAAGGAGGGGATTACAATGAATGTTATCCAATGTTACGCGTCCACTAATTATAGCAATGAAGACGATGAAGATCAGTTTTATGAAAGACTGCAATATATCATAGAGAAGTGTCTAAGAAAGAACCTGATCATTCCGGTGGGAGACATAAATGCCAAGGTCGGCATGGACAACATCAGGTACAAAGATATCATAAGACATGGTCTGGGAGAAAGGGACGAAAATGATGAGAGATCTGAAAGTTTATGTGTTTTCAACAAAATGATTATAGGTGGCGCAATATTCCCCACAAACTCATATACAAAGTTAAACGGGTTTCAAAGGGCCACACTAGAATAAACTGGATCGATCACATTTGGTTGAATAAGAAGTTCAGAAGGTTCATAAATGTGGGAACAAATGGAAGAGCTGATATAAATTCAAATCACCACTTGATTGTGGCCAAGACGAAACTAAAACCAAAGAAGCACTAGAAATCTAGAGAAACAGCACTATAAAATATAAAACAGAGCTTCTTCGAAATGCTGAAAAATTCAACGAATTCGAGATACTTTCAGCAATCAATTCCAAGCCTTACAAGATCTACTCAAAAAAGAGGAAACTAGTGTGGCGAACAACTGAAAAAGAATTAAAGAAGCAATAACTTCAATAAGCCAGGAGGCGTTGGGTCGAAAGAAGCACTAGCTTAAAGAGTGGATCTCTACTGATACCCCGAACAAGATTCAAGAAAGGAAGGAAAAGAAGACAGTAATCAACAACATGCAAACAGGAGCAGAAAAAGACAAGTCACAGCCAAATACACGGAAGCAAACAAGAGAGTGAAAAGGAGCATTAGAGCCGAAAAGCGGAAACATGTGGAAGACCTAGCAACGACATTTGGAAAAGCTATGAGAGGAGGAAATATCAAACAACTATATGACATGACGAAGAAACTAACAGGAAAATATAGTAAACCAGAGGGACAAGTCAAGGACAAAGAAGACAAGACAATCACCAAGACTCAAGAACAGAGGGATAGGTGGGTAGAATAATTTGAGGTACTCTTGAATAGGCCAACTCCACTGAATCCACTGGATATCGAAGCAGCATACACAAACCTTCCTATAGATGTCACTCCACCAACGACGGAAGAAATTAGGATGACCATTAGTCAAATCAAGAGTGGGAAAGCAGGAGTATACCAGCTGAAGCACTGAAGTAACTGCAAAGATGCCCCACATTCTCTTCAGAAAGGTTTGGGAGGAAGAACAAGTGCCGACAGACTGGAAGGGATACCTCATCAAGATACCAAATAAAGAACTACAAAAGCATCGCACTACTATCAGTACTAGGAAAAGTTTCTAACAGTGTTGTTGAGCCGAACTAAACCATACGGTGCTAGAAATAGTAACTACGTAAAATAGTAGAAAAGAATAGGTAATAAAAAGAAGACAATTTACGAGATTTGGGTGATCAGGAAACAAGAGGAAACAAAGATTGGATGTGTCTATGAAACTCCAGTCGATTCTGAGCTGTATAAAAAATCTCCAGCCACTGGTTACGTTAATCGCCGGGACCCCAATCACGTAATCTGCACCTACCTAGATAGCTCAGCCCAACAGTTAATGACTTCATAGACTGATGCTATGTTTTGATTTGGCTGTCTCTTAATTTCTCCCACCCCACTCCTAGGCCAGATATATCGCCTATCGAGGTAGGCGGTGATTGGATATACGTAATGCACGTCCCAACCACTAATTTGATGAAGGTTCACTACCTCATCAACCGGTTTGTTATCTTAATATAGCACCCTATACCTCTCATCAGCATCGCTCACTCTGTGATACCGACATACACGAGAACTACTTTGAAAACTCCTATGATCGAAAACTAGTAGCCTATGAATATCCTCTGTTCTTAATGGCTGTGTTCCATAACCATAAAGTAGAACAGGCCAAATTACTGAAATGCTCCACTTCCTATCATTAGTTCAGGTGTTGACGTAAACTATTCCTGAAACATTTTGCATTTAGAGGGATAGAATCAAATTCCAAACATGTTGGGACTGTTGCTCAAGGAGATTAGAAGACTGCATTTTGTCAGCGTCTTCACTAAACAAAACTACATCGTGTTATAAGTGGATCTTTTCGCATAAAATATTTAACTCATTGCCAAGGCACTTGAGTATGTGCCACACCAGGTATGAGGACTTAAAATAATACCTGGTTCCCCAAGCGGAAGTAGGTGGATGTGATTCAAACCTGGAACTTGGTACCCGAAATGCCCTGGTATGGCCGAGAGCGGGTTGGGTCCGCCCTCCCTCTCGAAATACTCTCACACGGCCGCGCGTATACAGCCTCTGCCAGGGAAGTCCTACTCACTGCCTTCTCGTGGCAGGGGTGTTGTTTACGAAAATGAGAGGACGGAAAGCGAATGTCCGGCGCTTTAACCGGATTCCAAACCAATGGTGCACATGGGCACCAGTATCCTGCGGGAACAAAGGGCGTATGAACCAATTTTCGGTCACCGGCTACCATGGGACTGCATCTTCTTACGATGCTCCACTGCCTTGTGGGTTAGACCTTTAGGTCAAAGGCTCGGGGTGTGGCCCCCTAAGATAACCACCTGCTTCGGTCTGGGCACCCGGGCAGTATCGCATCCCACACGCAATTAATGAACTGAACTGTCTATGATCATGGAAACTGATTCTCTTGCTTCGACGAACATTCAAATGATTCAATTATTATTATTGTTATTACTATTATTATTATTATTTACTACGTCATTATTCACCCTCTTTTATTCCTACTCTTTCTATACTTATTTTTTTCGACTTATACAGCAGCTCGTCTATGGTGGAAATTCGACTCTATCTAAACGTTCTCGAGTCACTGTCCGGTTGAAAATTGTATGTTACCACCGAATATGAGTACTGAAGCAGTTTTTCTGAAACCGCGTGCACCATTCAAACTGGCTGCCTTCAACGTTCGCACATTTATGCAGGTCGGACAACAGATAGGGCTGGCTATGTCTTTAGAAAGTCTTAATATTGATGTTTGCTATCTGTCCGAGACCCGTATTCAAGACTGGTGAAGTACTACAAATTCGCTCTCCATCTGTCGCTTCAAAAAGCTTGTTTCACGTGCGCTTATCCGGGGACCCTGTGGCATCTCCGTCTGGTCTTGCTGGCGTTGGTGTCGCACTAAGCGCTAGAGCTGAGGCAGCACTAATTGATTGGATCCCCATTAACAGTGGGTTATGTGCTGTTAGATCAGAAAGTTCCATCAAAGTGGGAAGAAATCGGCGTGAGAAACGATGTCTCTTCGTCATCTCCGCCTATGCCCCGACAGATTGCAGCCCGGATGCAATCAAGGATGAGTTTTACCACCAGTTATCTGTTCTTCTCCAGAAAGTGCATTCGACATATTGTAGTACTAGCCGGAGGCTTGAATGCTCAGGTCGGGCGTCTAGGCACAGAAGAGGGTCGTTTAGGTGGCCGATGGGGACTTGTTAGTCGCAGGACAGATAACGGGGACCGTCTACTGCAACTGTGCACAGACCACAGCCTATTTCTGGCTAGCACTGACTTTCGGCACAGTCATCGCCGATGTGCCACCTGGCGTCCTCCCTCTGCATCTCAAACCTGGACTCAGATTGATCACATCGCGATCAGCTACCTCTGGCGTGGTTGTGTACAAGACTGTCGCTCCTTTCGGAGTACCTATCTGGACTCTGATCATGCCCTGGTCTGTGCCAATCTTATCTTACTTTTCAGTGGACAACGAAGTGACCCCCACCAAAGGATTGATGTTAGCAAGCTGGTAGCAACTTCTGTTGCAAGTAAGTATCGAACCAAGCTAGCTTCTAGGCTAGCTACCATTCCACCGAAAAGTATAGATGAGCATTCGTTGCAACTTCATGACGCCATCGAAATGGCGAGTAAGGCCGCTTGCGGTTTAGCGAAACGTCCCGCTTATAAGCATTGGGTTTCTTCTGGTTCCTTACAATTCAATGAAGCCCGTCGGTCTACTACGGGTGACCGTGAGTTTGACCACAAACGAAGGTTGTTACGTAGTGAAATTGGGCAAAGCTCGCGTAAGGACCGAGAAGCCTGGTGGTCGGAGCGTGCTAATGAGCTGGAAGCAGCAGCTGCATCTGGTAATTACCGGAAGCTCTTCCAACTCATCCGAGCCACTGGCAGCACGAAGTCTAGTGTGAGCGAAACAATCTGTGAGGATGACGGGATGCCAATCACTAACATCCATCGACGTCTTGGACGATGGGCAGAATTTTTCGAAGGACAGTTCAACTGGCCTGCTGCTCCGGCAGCATCGGTCAGACTGTCCTGCCCTCCATGGCCGGTGACGATTGATCCACCAAATGAGGCGGAAGTCCGCAAGGAACTCCAACTCTTGAAGCGCTACAAATCACCTGGCCCTGATGACTTACCTCCGACTCTTTTTAAAGATGGTGGTGACTTTCTGACTAAGGGACTGACGAAGTTGTTTACAAAAGTTTGGGAACTAGAGTGTACCAACGTCATGGAATGAGTCGATAGTTGTCCCTATCTTTAAAAAGGGTTCAAGTCGTTCCTGTAACAACTATCGGGGGGATAAGTCTACGTCGATTGTGTCCAAATTATTGGCTTCCATCATACTTCGTATGCTGTTCAAAACCCAACAAAGATTGACTCGCGAGGAGCAGACAGGGTTTCGTTCTGGTAGAGGATGTATTGATCATATCTTCACCCTCCGCCAAATGTTAGAACACCGTCATACTTTTCAAAGGCCAACAATCGTAGTATTTCTTGACATCAGGGCTGTCTTCGATTCGTTGGATAGGACTGTTCTCTGGGATTGTCTATTGAAGAAGGGTGTGTCTGAGAAGTTTATTAACATCCTAAAAGCCCTATATACAAACACCTCATGCAGAGTGAGGGCACACAAACACCTTTCTCCATTGTTCCATTCGAGCAGTGGGGTTAGGCAGGGTTGCCCAATCTCACCATTCCTCTTCAACTTTGCCATCGATGACATTGTGGAAACAGCTCTGATGGATGTAAGTAATGGTGGTGTGGATCTGTTGCCTGGAGAAAGACTTCTCGACCTTGAGTATGCGCATGATATTGTCTTACTGTGCGATAATGCCCAAGCCATGCAATCCGCACTTAATCAGTTGGTAATCAGTGTCCGTAGGTATGGTATGTGCTTTGCACCTTCGAAATGCAAAGTACTTCTACAAGACTGGCAGGATTCTAATCCTGTACTCACCCTAGATGGTGAGCAAATAGAAGTAGTCGAGAAGTTCGTGTATCTAGGTAGCTGCATAAGTGCTGGTGGGGGTGTGAGTGATGAGATTAATGCACGTATAGTGAAAGCCAGAGAGGCTTATGCCAATCTGGGCCATCTTTGACGCCTTCTTAATGTTAGTCTGGCTGTAAAAGGTCGCATCTACAATGCGTCGGTGAGAGCAGTTCTGCTCTATACTTGTAAACCTGGCCTCTCCGAGTTGAGGATGTTAGACGACTCTCTGTGTTCGATCATCGCTGTCTCCGAAGGATTGCTGAAATCCAGTGGCAACACCATGTTAGTAATGCAGAGGTTCGGCATCGTGTGTTCGGGCACAGAGACGATAATGCAATTGGTGTTACCATCTTGAAACACCGACTTCGGTGGCCTGGACATGTTCTACGAATGTCGTCCCAGAGAATTCCACGCCGTGCATTACTTGCCCACTTTGGGACTGGTTGGAGAAAGCGGAGGTGGTCAGTATATGACATGGTGTCGTGGTATGAAAGAAAGCTGCAAAGGGCTGGCTTGTGTCGGTCCTTCACGACTCCCTGGTTGGGGTCCGAGAGATGGTACAACACAGTGGCTAGAGACGTTATCACATATGGCTCAGAATAGAAGCCAGTGGCGATCATGCTGTAACCTTCTTTTACTTTCTTCATAAAACGTGGTTGCATCTTCCTTAACTGAAAGATTTCTTCTGATTGTACCCTTCTGTTCCCCTACTATTACTATGATTATTACACTACCTTACACCAATCTCTTCGTTGTTTTTTTTATATCTTTTTTTTACGTTCCCCACTTTTTTCTTTTTCTTAAATTCTCATTGTTTTGGCGCACTCCTACACCAATATATGTGTTCAAATAAATAAATAAATAACCCGAAAGTCGGATGCCTTAGCTTGAGTTACCATGTTGATTCCATAATGACAGCGATGGTGAATAATACTAGCAAAACACATGTCTCATTTAACTTCGTACATATTCTATTAGTTCACCACGTTAATACAACGATGGATAATAGGATTTGAATATGAAATGTTTCTGGATACGTCTATTTCATGCACTTATTTACGCAGAAAGGTAATAAAAGGGTATATATACACAAATACGCACTCATAAAAACGCTCAGGAATACAAGGGAATAATTAACAAAGCCAAATGTACAAAGTTACAAAAAGATCAAGGTAATTTTTTTGTTCAGAAATTAGAGTAATTTCAAATGGGTGTTACAAAAAAGCCATCACAAATTTTAGCCGACTACTCCTAGTAGTGGACCGATTCCTGAGAAGGTGGACGAAACTATTATCTATAAGTGTCGATGACAAGGTTAAGTAAAAGTGAATATATGTACTAAAAATGGGAACCTTAGCAACAATAAACAAGCTTTTACAGAGGGGAGAGCTACTTATACATTTGTACAGTCTAAATAGTAATCAGCAGATACTTTATTAAGTCTAAATAGCAGTGGCGGACAAAAAATTAGACTAGTAACTAACCGTTTTTCCCGTTCCATTCTGACCAAGAATCAAAGTGACAGGTGTAAAAAATTCAATTTTTTGGGATGTTTCCTGTCCAAAACTTCGAATTCCAAGAATGCTCATTCGTTCTATCAATGCCATTATAATCTGAATTTCGAAAGATTCATTAGTTAAAGTGACAAATAAGAGGACTTGAGAGCACAATTATAGTTCACAGGATAAATTAATTTTCATGGGTAAACTGACTAAACATTACTTCCAGAATCCCTAGTATACAGTCCTCTCGAAATCGATAGAAGATCTATGATTTCAGAGTACCAATATCTTCGAATACTTTCCCAACATGCAAACATGTATGCAAGATAACTATCACGTTAGTAGACATAGTTCAACATGTCTTCATTTCTATTCACATCCCAGGTTTCATCTCCAAGGAATACACAAATGAAGCGTTGTATTTGTGAACAGCGATTTATGTAGAATACCTTACAGTAGGAGCAACAATATCAACTGCATATCCTCTCATTTAATTTACATATGACCGTTTCCCAACAATTCAAGTCACGCCAATGTTACTGAAAGATTGTATTTAGACAATATGTGATAACTGAACACAATTTTTAAACCATTAGGGTTTATAGGCCTTACTTCTAAAACAAAAAATGTCTATGAAACTTAACAAGTCTTCACTTCGTATGACTCATTCACACGGTTCAGAACTAATATCCCGAAAAACAATATATATACGTATTTCTATCCATGTGTTTCAATCTAGACCGGTTAAACCCTATTCCGCGAAACTATAATCAATGAACGAACCAACCAGATTTAAAATAACAGGTCTTGGATTTTGGCATGAAATTCACTAGCCCATTTGGTCAAATAGAGTCTTGACATTTTAGCTCAAGTTAGTTCGTGACGCAAAACCGCAAATCTAATTCCTAAACATAACCATCAACTGTGGATCATGATCCTTACTCATTCAACTGCTTTATAAACCTCATTTAGCCATAGTAAGAAGGTAGACACTCACAAAGTCAATTTAGCGTCGCTCAAAGGTCATCCACAATAGCTGACTATCAACAATCAGCTTACTAATTATTAAAGTCGGCTTACGAGTTTTAGTGAAAAAGGTCCAAAGAAGAAAATCAACTAGACGATTTATGAACGGCTTTCGGCACCCATATGATATAAATGTTCAGCCTCCGGTAGCATGAAAAGGAGCGTGGACTACGAGAAAAGAAGTGAGTCAACGATTCAGAAACTACAAAGAATGGGGTTACACTGGACGGTTAAAGCATCCAACAAACACCATTAACAATACATAAGCAAAACCAAAACAATCTGAGATAAGGGTATAATCTGAGGACAAACCAATGAAAGTGAGGAAAGTACGACTTGAATTTTTCCGAGAAGTTCGTTTATCCATGTGGTTAAATAGCATTTTGGGATTTCAGCTTATCCTACACAAGCTGCCAACTTTGGGGAAAATTCGGTCCATTTTGGGGAAGCCGCAATAGTAAATTTTGGGGAAATGAGACGAAAACCCCAAAATTCCCCCAAGGTTGGCAGCTTGGGTAACCCTAACTCTTGACTTTAAATACTAATTCGTAACAGTAATTTACAATCCTCTTTGAACTCTAGCAAATGGGTAAATCTTCAAAGTCACTGCAGCACCGCTCAAATGTTGCCTATGTATCATAGTCTCATCCCACCTAAAAACTCGAACTTCGTAGCGCTTAATTTCAAATGCTCCACATAAGCCCAGACTTAAACTTCGCGTTAACCTTGAATGATCAACTTAAGACAGATTTCAGATTTGTGTAGTAAGGACAGAAGCCATACGGCCTATGTTATTACCCTTTTTAGTGTGCTTCTATGAGTGTCCGGTTTTCTCTTGAATGAGTGACTTGAAGGTGCGTACACTACTGATAACAGGTTCCAAGTATTTGATTACTCGGTCCTTACTACACAAATCTGAAATCTGTCTTAAGTTGGTCATTCAAGGTTAACGCGGAGTTTAAGTCTGGGCTTATGTGGAGCATTTGAAATTAAACGCCTGATTTTTACATCGTCAACGTATAATAATATTGCGGACTGTACTATATTTGGGAAATCGTTAACATACACTGTAAAAAGTAAGAAACCAAGGACAGAACAATGAGGCACTCCAATAAGCACTGGTCTCTAGGTGTAGCACTTAGAACTTATTCTTACTTTCTGTCTACGACTTACTGGTAAATCCTTAATGAATTTTAAAGAGCAATCCAGCGGTACCAGCAATACCAAGTTTTTCTAGCTTTAATAGCAGTCTATTTGTTGACACCTTGTCGAATGCTTTGCTGAAGTCTATGTAGACAACATCCACTCCTTTTCCGTTGTCTAGAGCTCCATCACTTTAGGGAGGTTTGTCGTGCAGGACAAACACTTTCTGAAACCATGTTGTCCGCTGTTTAACAAATTGCTGGTTTGCCCAAATATCATTATGGTCTTTTCGACTGTTCTTCCCAGTATTTTTAACCACGATGCTGGTGAGGCTGACAGGTCTGTAGTTCGATGGAAGTTGTCTTGGTCCTGTTTTATGTATGAGTGTGACCACTGGATCTTTCCAGTTCATAGGTAACACACCTTGGTGAAGTAACATACTGAATATCACAATAGGTGGGAATTTGATATATTTTGCAGTATGTTTCAAGATTTTGGGCTGTAGTTCATCTGGCCCTGTTGACTTTTCTATGTCTAAGGTGATAAGAGCCTTAAGTACATCTGTAACAGCTCAGGTTGGTTGGTTAAGAGTTGACCCCAAACAACCAAGCATATGCCAAAACAGTATTGTTCAAGTATTCATTCACTTCCTTATTTTTTATAAGCGTTATATTCCCTATTATCTTATATTGAATGTTGCGAGCCTTTGTTTGTCTGAACAGATAATCCCACGCTCCACTGTGACTCGCGAACAATCGCGCGCCGTATGTGCACCTAAAGACCTAAGCAATTGCACGCACGTCTGGATAAGATGTGACAAAATAAAAGCACCACTTAGCCCTCCATTTGAAGGTCCTTTCAAAGTCGTCTCAAGAAAATCTAAATATTTCGTGATAGAAAAACATGAAAACATCGACACAGTAAGTATTGATAGGCTAAAGCCGGCTTATCTAGATCATGAACCACAATACGTGTTGTTAGATCGTTTAACTGACAAATCCATTACGGAATCGAAATGTAAAGATAATAAATCTTTACAAATGACTAAAACGGTTCGCTGGGCACATCCAATTAGTCAGTCAAGGATGTTGACAGTTTCGGCTGCAGGATAAAATCTAACCACGCAGCTAATCACACCCTGCATCTACTTAAAAATAATTTTTTTTCCTCATTCTGCCTCACCGACAACTCCCCAGACCTTTTACCTTTGATATATACGTGTTATATTAAATATTTTTTGAAAAATACTTGACACATAAGCTAGGTATTCCGAAACGATGGCTGAGGATTTTAATCAAACTCATACAACTAACACTGGCAAATACAACGAATTCAAAAAGCAACCCAGGCGAGTTTTATAATTTCTTTTTCTGGTTAATTAACTATGTTGGCTGTACTTCTTATATATCTATATACATTTTTCACGTAGACTGGCTATACACATATACCATATGAACTAATTCTAAAAGTTTTCGGTCGAAGATGTGTTTAGTAGCTTGATACGCTTAATACTACTATTAATAAGTGGTTTTCTAGACAAAACATTTTGGATTAAACCATGGTCAAGTACTTATCACAGTTCTCATCATTTTTTTCATGTTTAGGAAACTTACGTAATGACTTAACCAGTTTTCCTGCAGCATGCTTTTTAGTGTGATCATATAACCCATCTTTATTGGCAAGATTCAAATTTTTTTAAATTCCTGACATTTAAGAATCAATAACCGTGAAGATATAGTACAGTGCGTTACTGTAAGGTTACTATGTTAGCCGCATTGATTCCACATACCTAATTTTAAACACAACTTATAAGGGAACTGTTAAGTAATCACAACATTGAACTGATATGAATATCACAGCTATGCTAACGTTAAACCAATTATTATTAGTGGTCCATACAAAATCCTGGAACTTAACATTAGCGTTATAAAAAAGACATGTTATGTCAATAACTTATATATATATATAACTTCTTTTTCTCGTTGGTTTAATTATAACGTAAAATGGAAATCTACCAAACTTGTGGTTTTTTTTTCTATAGTATTATTATTAATACAAACAAAGAACTTGTACTGTTCCAATATGGCACTTTGACATATCAATCCGTCCTCCTGTTATCTTTCTCTCATATCTGAGCAACATATGGCCAACAAACATCGTATTGAAGGGGTTTTTGGTGAACGAAAACGCTAGCCCCACACGCACTCGAGCCTCTGCCCTCCTGGATGCTAGACCGTGTGCCTAGCCATTAGACCACATCAAACCACGGAGGAATGACTGCAATCTTTCCTTTTACCGATTAATCATATATAATACTAATGAGTAATAGGACTTACACATTTCTAAGGTGCAGACAAATTCGTTACTTGGATGAATTGACGAAATATTGCTTCAATATATCATACATATTTAGATCAAACCAGAAAACAGTATTTGACACAATTGTACTTAATCCTCATAATTTACACAATTTTTTTCCTCCTTAACCGTATATTCTTTTCCGTTTTGTGGAGTACAATTATGCACCCTTGGTTACGTACCTGGTTATAAAAGGCGGTCGTCATAGGCCCAAGGTCATACATTTGATCGGGTTTGACAATGAGTCCAACTTCTAGCAAGTTTACACTTTTACATATATGCATTACAAAAAAGTATTTTTTTTGTTTTCATACCTTTTCGCACACAAGATGGCTACGCTGTGTCTATTTTCTTCCAGAATACCAATCCTTTCTGGATGCCAATCACTTACGTGAAACCGAACAATTATCAATTACATTTACGTATTTCCATTTTGTATCTTATTATTTTTATGCAGGCAGTGGAGCAGTTCTTCAGGTGTGATTGGTTTTCACCATTACCTTTGAAGTAGATTCTTCTTTACTTTTTACTTGAGGGCGACTCAAGAGGCAGGTGAGTAAGCACCTGATAGCCGGTCT